AAAAGCACACACGTTTGATCAAACATGCATTCTTTGATAAAGAAGTCTACTAAAGTTAGATACTAAAAGCGGGTTTCACTTCAAAAGATTGACATGTGTATCTTATCATTAAAAACATAAAAGAAAAACATTACAGTTCGCCTAGTCACTTTCGAGCTATATAAGTAGTAGTTTGTCAATATGCTACTCAATACCTCGCATGCCACTTGAAGGGAAAGCGGACACTCTCCTAACGTTTGGTGAGTCTACTTGGGTAATTATATTTGTTGTTCGGGTAACGCATTTTAAATATTTTGATATTAATGTGTATTAGACTATAAATCAAAGCAAAGTGCAGGTAAGTATCGTCAAAAGGAACGGAATAGGCACTCAAATTTGATATTAAAAACATAGCAGAGGAAAAGTGGAAACATCGAAAGAAAACGAAAGACAACATGAATCCACACTAAATATATCGGAATGGTAAACTTTTGATTCATGGTCGCTGACGAGACTAGACATAAAAGTTATCAATCGTAAAGAATAAGGCCAAACGAGTAGTGGAGGCACGGTAGTCTAGTGGTAGGACGCCGGGCTCGTGACCGAAGGGCCCTATAACCACGGAAACTAATTTATGAACCGCTTTGAGACGAGCTACGAACTAGGTTGTTATAAAGCGGTATATAAGAACCTCGAATTAATATGAATTATCATTAAACGTCTTCCTTTGTTAAGGTCATTGGAGTGTATTGATAAACGGAAATAGGAAGTACGTCCCTAGTTGAAAATCCAATGTAGGGAGACAGTACAACAATTTCCGCAAATTCTAATGTTTAATATTAAACTGATGAATATTGTATGTTTATTATTGACAAAACAGTGTGTTCTCTCAATATTAAAGTATTTCAAAGCAATCCAGGCATTAATTCAGGATTTTTTTTTGTCAATGAGTCACATGTGTCAATTTTTCTGTACTTCAGGAAACCGGCTTCCTATTTCACTACTGTGAAGTTTTTCAAGAACGATAACTCTTACCTGCAATTACTATGTGTATATGGTTTTATTATAAAATGTCAATTTTTACATCGTCTATAGAGAATTAATTTTACAAAATTTCAGCATTTATTAAATTGATATACACTAATGCAATACTAATATTTGTCAGTATCATTTTTATTGTGTCTTTCATTTTTTTTTTCAAAATTCATTCCTTTTTACATAAATTTCCATTTAAAATCCTTAAAATTCTGACAACCTATATCTTTTTTGTGGCAGAAAATTTTCTTTACTTTAAAGCAATATAACTACAAAATTTGAAGAAATTCTACTGAGAAATGGTGACACAATCCTATTACCTTAAGTCGTAAGGCGACTATTGTTGCAGTAGAGGTTTGTAGAGAAACGACAATTATTTTACAAAGGTTTTGTATTAAGGCGACTATATTTTAGGTACAATTTGTCATTGAGGTAACTATTGTTTTATAGAGTTTGATAGTGAAGTGATCACTATTGTCATAATGTAAGTTAATTTGAATACATAAGCTAAACTGACGAAAACAGTATCACAATTGTCATTGTTCTTTCTTGATCTCTTACAGATGATGTATCGCCTATATCTCATTGTCATCATCTTGATGCTGGACACTTATTTGGCCAATCCTCTACCCATCAACACAACGGCTCTCAATAAAGACAGCATTGCTACAGAAATCTTACAGAAATCCGTAAATATTAAACCTAGTACAACAACGAACAGGGAGAATGACACAGAGCATGGCACTCAAGGTAATGCTCTCACAGAGTTTGGCACTCAAGGTAATGCTCTCACAAAGCTTGGCACTCAAGGTAATGCTCTCACAGAGCTTGAATTTCATGGTAACGTTGTTTCCTCTGCTTCGGACATGAGTGAAACATTACCAAGTGACGAATTGGAAAAGAAGATGCAAACTTTAATTGGCCTTTTAAGAAATCGTGCCAGAAGTTTTCCTGGGGAGAGTTTGATACCAGATAACATAAAACTGGATTTAAATAAAACATTATATCCTACAAACGCCTTGCACTCTACGGGGACCACATCGTATGTACGTGAAAGGCGGAGCAACGGTGTCATCACTGTCAATGTAAACTGTAGTGAACACCCAGACCTGTGTCAGCAGGCCGTCGCCTGGTTACAGCAGCACGACAAGCAGGTACCCACATCGCTATCGCACTGGCAAGGCTGACCGAATAACGAACAAAATCACTTTCTGATGGGGAAGAATCTCATGTTTTATTTGGCCCTCGACGGTTCACGCATCTCTGTGTGAATTGTTCACGTGCAAACTACATTTATATTTTTCCTATATAGGAAACCAGGTGAAAAGACTACGTCTTATGTGACCCATAAAAATCAAATAAATATGCTTTCTATATATGTAGAATAATATGGTTTATATTTCGGAGTCTTAATTTTGGGTCAATTGTTTTATTAATGCCTCTACAAAATATAATCATTGTATATCAATGATCTCCGCTGATCCAAGCCTGTGACTGCTGTCGATGGTTCAGTCTAAAGACGTCGTTAGAATAAACTAATTTCCTATGAACAGTAAAACAAAAATGATACTTACAATATGTGCATATTTATATAAAGTAAGATCTTTATGTGGAACTAACAAATTCGCTAACATTCAATTGTACACTAAGTCTGTCTCTAAGCAGGTGGGCGCTGATTATACAAGTTCACCAATAATCACAGGCAAGGCGAAATTCTTTGTTTCACGATCTCGGGGTCTGGGGATGCAAGTTCAAGTCCGCTGAATATCAGATAATTCTGTGTGACTGTTATCTATGTTGGTTTGATGGTATAATTGGTCGATTCTGATTGGCCTTATAAGAAATTAAAGTTTTATCATGGCGACATTAAATGATGGAAAGTGAGCAAAATTTGTCTCTTGTTTTTTTCATGCACTTTTCTTTTCGAATTAATCCATTCACCCCTAAAGTCACATTTAAACCTTACCAAATCAAATACTGGGCGAGACCAGTTTAAATATGTAGGGGTGAATGAGTTAAATTATCGTTAAAATCTTGTACATGAACATAATATGACATATATTTTTACTTATCGGAAGCTGAGCTGAGGATGGATTTCTCCGCATAGGTTAGATGGTATAAAGGCAAATGTTCTAAGATTATATGTCAGGGGAAATCCTTGGCTCCGATTGGCTGAATCTACTCGAAAAAACCAAAATCGACGTCTTAAAATACAGTATTGAATCCAGAAATCGATTTCTAGTAACCTAGAATGATTATTATTAATCAGGTTAATCAATTAACCGTTACTTATTTGATAGTTAGTCTAGATACTAATTTCTTCTAATCTGAAGTTAATTATTTTTATTTTTACTAATCTGAAAATTAATCCATAGATTAATTCCTACTTAACTGAAGTTAACCTTGATACGGATTTTGACCTATCCATTAGTTAAACTGGATACTGATTTCTGATAATTAATCCAGAGATTGGGTCAGACTAATCGGATTGTTGATGACGGGATTGGTTCCTTCAGCATACAATTGTTTCCCTCTCTCCATATAACGATGGTTCATCTGAGCACGTAGTAATTGCCATTCTACAAATTACCCATAATATAAAAAACAAAGCTTTTCATGAAGGGTCTGTACTTTTTTTACCCCAACGTCAGGATCACACTGACGTTCGAAATGATACGTATAAAAGTTGTGTCGGCAAACAAGGCATCTAATTACTTGATTCTGGTCTACAAACACTAATACCTTTGCAGCCTAAAAGGATAATTAAGCTTGTTTGGTAACCAAGAAAACCTAAATTATGCGTATCCAGTTTTTCGAAAGAAAAAATACCAAAATTGACTTGCCTCTTTTTAGTTGGATTCATAAACTTCGCAAGAATTCCTAATTGATAACATGTTATCCCTGGACTTGTTAGTTGTACGACCAATCATTTCAGTATCATTAAATATGGGTAACAGTCGTGCTGTGTCTACTCCAGAAGTGGTGTTCATTCAATCAAAGCTCTCTTGATTTATCTTTTAACATCCATTCCTCAAAAACGTTTCTTCTGTCAGATTTTTTGACTTCCCCACTCTGTACATAACCATACCTTTAGCTATGAGATTTCATTCCTTTGACCCTAAGCTCAACTTATGAGTCCTAAATGGACAAAATGGCCATATGGTGCAGTGAAATGTTTACAATGGCTTTCTGCATCGAAACAAATAAACAGATGCTTTCTTCTACTAATCAGTTACTTAACCCAGAAATTGATTTCTACTGATCGGATTCCCAGCGGCGAATCTAGAGATGAGTTTTATGCTAATCCAAAAATTAATTTCTACTTGGCCGATAGTCCATACAAAGATTGATTTCGACTGATCCGACCAATGGTGAGTTCAGAGGTAAGTTTCTTCTTCAGTGATTAATTTCAGTGATTGATTCCATCTTTAATCCACAGCATGTTTTAAATGATTCAGATAATCGTAAGATTGTTTTCAACTTAACTGATAGATAATCTAGGTAGTACATTTATTGCTTTATTCTATACCTAATGGTAATCCTGAAAATGATTTCTACTGTTCTGATGGTTAACTCATTCACCCCTGAAATTTCATAATAAACTATTCAAACCTTTGAATTGGAGGAGTTCAAATGTGTCCTCAGGGGTGAATGAGTTAATCTAGAGACAGATCTCAGCGATCCGAAATAATCCAGTGTGAGATTTCTACCAAATCAGTGGTGAATCCAGGTAGTGATTCAGGAAACTTCTAGTGTTAATTACCTTAACAAGGATTACTAAATTAAATGTAAAAAATATTTTTAAGAAAATGACTCAGTTTACAAGATAGTAGTCCAAAGGTTAACACATGTTAAGGACCCTTTAGGTAGTACACTTATTGGTTGTACTCTTGGTATCAATGAGAACTGCCAATGGTCTGTTTTACGTAAGACATTGTCGGTATGTATGTCAGGAAGAAATAAACAAACAACACACAATATCACCTATTACTTTTATTTCATTCTATGTAAAATTATATATACCTATCACTGCTCATTAAGAAATAAATAGCATCAACACTTGTACCATTAGGTAACTATATTGGAACCAACAGATTTGTGGTGACAAATTGCACTAAACATTAATTACGAAACAATTAAATACAACCATAAAACTGAGTTTGAGCTGATGACCAACACATGTAGCCAGTGGTCAGTTAAATGAAGTCTCAGTAGGAAGATAGTACTTAATAACATAGTATGATTACTAGATCGGTTGATGGCAAGTATTTTTAGTTTTCATAAATAATCATTCACTTTCCAGTTTAATACCAGGCATATCTATCTGATTTTATCAATTTTTTAACATTATATACTACAGAGAAAATGAACAAATGGATACATTTTGGGGAGGTAGTCAGTTTCAAAAGTGTATCAAACCATTGCACATCTATTTCTATCTGGCCAATAAATAAACTTAACACAAGTTGAAATGAAAGTTTTCATCATTAAATAAAAAGTTTCCTCCCCTTTTTATGTTCTACATCATTACTGACAACTACTTCTGTCTGAACTCCAAAATAATTCAGTCTGGCTGCTGTTATTTCCTCCCTTTTCACTTCTTCTTGCCCTTCTTTTTACCTCCCCCTACAGCTGCATTGGGGTCCTGACCTTGGGCCAGTGCCAGCTGTTTTTTCAGGTCTAGAAGTTTAGCAACCTCGCCGTCTATCTGGCTCTTCTCTGCTTTCTTGCTTTTCAAATCTCTCACCATAATTCCCTGCAACAGACAGATGACAAATTGTATACCATATTTTTTTCTTCTTCAACCTTTCCGAATATGTTCTTTATAGTTGATTTAAATCTTCATTGGTTGTTGCATTTGCATTGTGTGTGTTAGAATTTAACAAAATCCTGTATTAGAGGTGAAAGAAAAACAGTCCATCATTATTTACATAAAAGAAGTATAGAAAGTCTACCCTTCAGAAATGGAATGTGGTCAAAAAACCAGCTTGCACCTACAACCTCAGTAGCATTTCTACATCCATATACCCACATAATAAATTATGAAAGTCTCCAAGCTCTTCCATCTCAAAAGATTGAAATGTCCTTTATTACTATCCCTTATTCATTATCAAGAATGAAGTCTTATTATTAGATGGCACAAGCCGACAACATTACCTGTTTAGAGACCTCTTCTGTCAGTCGGTCGACCTCTGCTGAACTTCCAGGTGCATTAGATGAAGCGGGTGGTGCTACACTGGCCGGAGGAGCACTGCCCTGACCACTAGCAGGTTGTTTGGCTGACTTTTTATCCTAAACAACAAAACATTTATAAACTCAATTATACGAAAAAGTAAAAACAGGCTTATAAGCGCAAAACAATTTCAGAAGAATCTAACACAAGCTTTTTTAACTATAATATCATAATGAATTGAAACAAAAGTCTTTTTGTGTCAATTATCAAGCCACAGTCTGTGTGACGATGTCACACTCCAAATGACAATAAACTTTTATTGGGTTTATTACACTTTGATTGAACTTACTTTCTTTTTGTTCCCCCCTGCAGCAGGGACAGAGTTTTGACCTTGAGCGAGTGCCAGCCTCTTTTTGAGATCTAGTAACTTGGCCACTTGTGCATCAATCTCGCTCTTATCAGCTTTCTTGGTTTTCAGATCCCGCACCACCAAACCCTGCAACATCAATCGGGGCACGTTTATGACACAAACAATTATATCAACTTGTGAATATCATGGAGTCTAATTAGTTTAGACTCTTCGGTTCCCAATAAAATACTTGAACTATGATGCATTTCTAACTAAAGTAACAAGATTTTATTAGAGGATTTGTAATCTCAGTTATCTCCCCTTACCTGTTTCGCGACTTCGTCTGTGAGTCTGGCCACCTCTACAGGGTCACAGGGTCCACTGGCAGCAGCAGCAGCATCACCACCTGTTCTCTTTGAAGACTTAGTTTCCTGTCAAGTAAAGAGGATACTCTAGAGTGATGATCTGAGCATTATCAGACTATATACTCTTAAAGTGGAAATTTTCATGTGTGGAAATTGTTACCATTATGACCCTATAAAAAGTTTTTGGTTTGGCAATGGTACTGAAATTTATATATTCTATATACCAATTACCTATATAATCTATAAAGATATCTTCATATGTGGATATTTTCATCCAAGTTACTCAACATTTACCCTATATACAGTATACCACATACTGACTGTCTGTCAGAAACTAGTACGCTACACTGCAGATTTCAGTACTGGCCAGGATTTGTAAAGTAGTGAAGACTGATTCAGAATATTTTTTTCACTTTATGAAGAACTTTGGTAGATTCGGACAAACATGGACCACTGACTACTACATGTATATCCACGGATTGACAAGTAAATATTGTCTGGTAGAATTTTACTATCAGGTAATCACCTTTTTCTCTGGGGCTGGCTCTCCAGCAAACTTCTTTTTCAAGTCGTCCATCTTTGATGCTGCTATTTTCTCAAACAATGGGCTTGGCTAAAATGAATAATGACACCTTCCTCACAAAAACATAAATCAATACATCATATTATTTCGAGATTATCCTCATTTCCAATATAGCTTTAGAAAATATTGTACCATGCATTTGAATGTTTCCTAGATGCACTGACTGCTGTTGAACTCTGGCTTTTAGACATACTGACCTTTGACTTGTGAACTTTAGCATTGATGACCTTTGACATCTAACCCTAATCTTACCTGTCCTATCTTGTGGCCGGGTGGGAGATGACACAGGAACTCTGGGTGGACTACATTGGCCTCCTTAGGGCAGTTGAGCTGCTTTTGGATGGTTTCACTGGTGGCTGGCATGTATGGTTGTAGTAACACAGAGAGCAGGGTGGAGATGTTGGCCGCCAAACTGACCACTGATCCAGCACGCTTCCTGTAACAAAACCGGACATTTATAAATAGACCAATAGTCAGAGATATTGACCATTTAAATTGACCACCAGCATGTTTCCTGTAACAAGGCAGACAAATATATACAGACAGATGACCAGAGACTTTGACCATTAAACTGACCACTGACCAAGGAAGATTCCTGTAGCAAAAGCTTCCCTGTATTAGAAAGCCTTGGTGTAACAATTTTAAAGGTAATCAATACAACAAAATAAATATATGGAAAGGCAGACAGGCAGGCCCTTTTTTGCAACCTTCAACACAACTTATTTTTTCCTGAAATCCACTTTTGCAAAAATAAACTGCCTGCAAAAATAGATTTAGAAAGCCTTGGTGTAATGATTTTAAAGGTAGGCAATACAACAAAAAGTAAGGCAGGCAGGAAGGCAGGCCCTTTTTTGCGACCTTCAACACAACTTCTTCCCCCCTGAAATCCACAATCCACTATACAAATGTTAACAGTTATTTGAACACACAAATACATCACCCATACATTATCAATTACAAGTACGTCCCCTATCCCCCTCCATACACACATAGTCATAAATCTTTAATACACATCAAACCAAAAATGATATTAATTATTTGAATATTTCTGTCCTATTTATATACTTCATATTTTATCTTTAGCAAAGTATCCGGGAACTGATCCATACAAGTAGCATAGGTTCAGATAAAGGTTTTGACTTACTTGTCAGCATCACTGCCTTTGACGAGGACCCAGGGTTGGTTGGCCTGCATGAACTGATTACCGAGGCGAGAGATACTCAGAATGTTCCTTATGGAATCTCTGATCCTGGAAGACACAGAAATAGGTCATTCATCAACTTGTCTTACCATTTGTTATAGAAGTAAAAAACAAGAGGTCTAACAGGCCTGTATTGCTTGCTTGTTACTGAATGATGTTGGCAAACACGTTTGACCTATTTCACCTTAAAACTGGGCCAAGGTCAAATTTATTTGAACAAACAGATAGCAAGCATGCTTAAAATCCAAACAAAGTATCATTTTCCTATACCTTATATATATTAAAATTTATATCTTCTGAATGAATGGTTTAAGAATTTAAGATACATGACCCCTGTGACCTATTATGCGAGTCAAGGTCATTCTCTTGATTTTTATTGCTCTTTCAGAGTACCAGTACCTGTAACAATTTTTCATTTATACTATGATAGATGTTTGATTTCCATGTATAAAAGAAGCTATTGTCAAGTGTGTGACTCATGACAGCTTATTTCGCCGACACTTAAGTTTTCTATTTACAGGCATATGTAAAGCTCCCACATCAGTTGGACCACACTTACTTTGCCTGCTGAATGTTATCTATGAATGTGTGAAGCTCTCACGTGACCTGGACCACACTTACTTTGCCTGCTCCATGTTTTCTATATATGTGTGAAGCTCTCACATGACCTGGACCACACTTACTTTGCCTGCTCCATGTTTTCTATATGTGTGAAGCTCTCGCGTGACCTGGACCACACTTACTTTGCCTGCTCCATGTTTTCTATGTATGTGTGAAGCTCTCACATGACCTGGACCACACTTACTTTGCCTGCTCCATGTTTTCTATATATGTGTGAAGCTCTCACATGACCTGGACTACACTTACTTTGCCTGCTCCATGTTTTCTATGTATGTGTGAAGCTCTCACATGACCTGGACCACACTTACTTCGCCTACTTCAAGTTTTCTATGAATGTGTTAAGCTTTCACGTGACCTGGACCTCACTTACTTTGCCTGCTCCATGTTTTCTATATATGTGCGAAGCTTCCATGTGACCTGGACCACACTTACTTTGCCTGCTCCATGTTTTCTATATATGTGCGAAGCTCCCGTGTGACCTGGACCAGGAGCTGGTTGTCATCATCAGTTAGAATCATCTCTTGTATGGTACCGTCAAAGTTATTACTCACAAACATAAGGGCTCTGGAAATGGAGAGTAAGTAATCTTAACAGGAGTTTCTTCTCAATTTCATCAAGTTTTAGCTAAATTTTACTGATTTTACCAATGTTTTACAAAAACTTTCAGACAAATATTGGCATTTTATTAGTAATTAAATTATTTTTATTTTTATTTTTTTACCTTGACTGTAATTAATTGATCACATGCGAGTTCAAACCATAGAAAAACAATTCAATGTGGATCAAGAATTAGATAACTGGTCTCCAAAATACCACTTCTAATAAAGAGAGATCAATCCATATAACTGAACCAGTGGTAAAAACCTAAACTTACCTGTTGATGAAGTTGCCGAGGTTGTTGAGAAGCTCACTGTTGTTTTTCAGTAAGAAATCGTCCCAGCTGAAACTGCTGTCCTGATAACATATAATGTAAGATAGATCAACTCAGGCCTGAAAGCATGTCAGATAGATCAACTCAGGCCGGAAAGCATGTCAGATAGATCAACTCAGGCTGGAAAGCATGTCAGATAGATCAACTCAGGCTGGAAAGCATGTAAGATAGATCAACCCAGGCTGGAAAGCATATCTGTTCGGATTAAATCATCACACAGTTTTATCTTCCTACACACAGGGGATGGATGGGAGACCCTTCTTGGCAAATCTATCACCATGGAAGCTTTTTTTAAAAAAAAACTAGATGAAGATTAGCCAAAACTTCTGCATGATGTAATTATCTCCCCTACCTGTGTCTCTGGCCTAAAATGTAATTATCTCCCTTATCTGTGTCTCTGGCCTTAAATGTAATTATCTCCCTTATCTGTGTCTCTGGCCTGAAATGTAATTATCTCCCTTACCTGTGTCTCTGGCCTGAAATGTAATTATCTCCCTTACCTGTGTCTCTGGCCTAAAATGTAGTTATCTCCCTTACCTGTGTCTCTGGCCGTACATACAGAAGGTAGAACCTGTATATGTCTGCGGGGATCCCGGTGTCCCGGGCGTTGTTACCGAACACACCAGTTCCACGACTCTTGGAGAACTTCCCGTCCTCATAGTTTAAGTATTCTGTTGAAACAATGGACAAAATTACATAAAGTAATCATGCTTGAAAGTCTGAAATCTGATTTGAATGAATAGAGAAATAGTGACTTTGTTTTCAACATGTACAACCATGCATGCAGCATTGATGATGAATGTCTGAAATCTTTTTAATTAATGGAAGAAATCATGATTTAGATCAAAATATGCAGCCATGCTTGCTGTGCTGTTACAGGAATTCTGTACTTACCAGTAGCCACCATATGGTTGACAATGGTGTAGTTGTCGTCAGCTCCCAGTAATGTACAAGGGAAGATGACAGAGTGAAATGGCACATTGTCTTTCCCCAGGAAGTTGTACATCTCCACCTGACAAAAGTAGGAGAGAATTGTAAGTGACATGTGATTAGGAAGAGGAATATTAAACTAATGTGACAAAGTCTGTTTGCATTTTGTCATCTTGCCTCCTCTGACAATCATAATAATGAGGTCACAGTCAATAAATCAAAGTAAAAATCATAAAAGTAATAATGTCAGTTTTGTTTTATTTTCCAATAGCAGAGCAGATGTTGAATAGAAATTACTTATTTACATGACTAAAGAAATTAAATAGTCTAACAGTGTCCCTACCTGTTTTGGGTTTTTCCACCATTTCTCCCATTGGTCTGTGTAGTTAGCCGTAATGGAGATGTAGCCAATAGGAGCATCAAACCACACATAGAATACCTGTGTGAAATACAGAGACATAACAACTGTCAGACCACACCTAGAATACCTGTGTGAAATACAGAGACATAACAACTGTCAAACCACACATAGAATACCTGTGTGAAATACAGAGACATAACAACTGTCAAACCACACCTAGAATACCTGTGTGAAATACAGAGACATAACAACTGTCAAACCACACATAGAATACCTGTGTGAAATAAAGAGACATAACAACTGTCAAACCACACACAGAATACCTGTGTGAAATACAGAGACATAACAACTGTCAAACCACACATAGAATACCTGTGTGAAATACAGAGACACAACAACTGTCAAACCACACATAAAATACCTGTGTGAAATACAGAGACATAACAACTGTCAAACCACAGATAGAATACCTGTGTGAAATACAGACATAACAACTGTCAAACCACACATAAAATACCTGTGTGAAATACAGAGACATAACAACTGTCAAACCACAGATAGAATACCTGTGTGAAATACAGACATAACAACTGTCAAACCATACATAGAATACCTGTGTGAAATACAAAGACATAACATTTGTCAAACCACACATAAAATACCGGTGTGAAATACAGACATAACAACTGTCAAACCACACATAGAATACCTATGTGAAATACAGAGACATAACAACTGTCAAACCTCCCCTAGAATACCTGTGTGAAATACAGAGACGTAACCACTGTCAAACCACACCTAGAATACCTGTGTGAAATACAGAGACGTAACAACTGTCAAACCACACCTAGAATACCTGTGTGAAATACAGAGACGTAACCACTGTCAAACCACACCTAGAATACCTGTGTGAAATACAGAGACATAACAATTGTCAAACCACACATAGAATCCCTGTGTGAAATACATTGACATAACAACTGTCAAACCACACATAAAATACCTGTGTGAAATACAGAGACATAACATTTGTCAAACCACACATACAATACCGGTGTGAAATACAGACATAACAACTGTCAAACCATACATAGAATACCTGTGCGAAATACAAAGACATAACATTTGTCAATCCACACATAAAATACCGGTGTGAAATACAGACATAACAACTGTCAAACCACACCTAGAATACCTGTGTGAAATACAGAGACATAACAACTGTCAAACCACACATAGAATTACTGTGTGAAATACAGCGGAATAAAAACTGTCAAAACACAATTCCTTTTTGACCTTTTTAACATATATTGCATGTAGTGAAAAGAAATTTACAATTGTAGAGAAACATTGGGAAGGAATTGTAAGGTCTATATGTAACCCTGGTAACTGATCCATGTATTCCCTTGAGAGGTCCTCACCTTGTCCGTGTACCCCTCGAGAGGCACCTGTGTACCCCACTTAAGGTCCCGACTGATACAGCGTGGCTTTAGTCCGTCCCTGATCCAGCTATTGGTTATATTTTTGGCATTGTTGCTCCATGTTCCAGTACTATAAGCACTGTCCAGGTGTTTCTGTAGAAATGGCTCCATCTAAAATGTCCAAATGGTAAAACCGTGTAGAGTTGTCTTTATGAAAACTTTTTGTTATTCAACTTTACTTAGCGAACATTTTATTTTGCTATAAATATTTTATTAGGATATAAAATGCAGTGGATCACCAATAAATAATTTGTTCATTTTTATATCCAAGGAGTGTCAAATCTAAACTTCTGAAATTCTGCTATAATTATTTTTGCCCATGTAAAAGAAGTGATACACATTTAATTCACAAGTTCATATCTTTGTGTCAAACCTAAAGAAGCATAATCAAAAACACAATTATTTATATATATATAATATATATACCTGGCTTACAATTTCATTAAGATATGCAAATCAGGTTTAGAATGTTTCATGAAAGGGAGGCCCTGCCATCGTGGGATTGTTCCAAGACCTCTTTGGATGTTTCCATTCTCCGACACGTCCAGTTTGACATTTACTGAACAATGAAACCTATTGTCTATTTCACTTGACTTCTGGACTTGCTTTCATAGCAAAGACAGGGAATGAAAGAAAATGTACAAATCTTCAACAAATGTACCTCAGAAAACAAAAACCATCACTATATGAATATGAACCATTGTTTTTGTTATCCTGCTTTTCTCTCTCTTGAGAAGGACAAGATTTGTTATCTAGGATTGTATGATACCTTGGTTATTCTGCTTTTCTCTATTCCTGAGACGGTGAGGACAAGATTTGTTATCTAGGATTGTACGATACCTCGGTTATTCTGCTTTTCTCTATTGCTGAGAAGGTGAGGACAAGATTTGTTATCTAGGATGTATGATACCTCGGTTATTCTGCTTTACTCTATTGCTGAGAAGGTGAGGACAAGATTTGTTATCTAGGATTGTATGATACCTTGGTTATTCTGCTTTTCTCTATTCCTGAGACAGTGAGGACAAGATTTGTTATCTAGGATTGTATGATATCTCGGTTATTCTGCTTTTCTCTATTCCTGAGACGGTGAGGACAAGATTTGTTATCTAGGGTCGTATGATACCTTGGGTAGGTCCAGGAACAGATGATCAGATGTCTTCACTATTGGCGTGGATTTGCATAGTTTACACTTGGGAGACTTGAGTTCGGTGGCGTTGATGAGTTTGCCACACGCATCACACTGGTCGCCACGGGCGTCGTCAAAGTTACAGAGTGGACATGTACCCTCCACAAACCTGTCCGCCAGGAACCTGTCACAACATGAAAATATTTGTATAACTTGAAAATATCAGCTCTTTAGAAAATATTTATGAGATTTTTCTTGAAACTGTTGCAAAAGAGTCATTTGAAACACAATAGGGAAAAGCTATTCAGGAAACATTAAATAATTAAAAGTTTATCAATATGGCCTCCTCATACTGTCAACCCATATGGTAATTAGACATGTAAGGTAACAGTTTGACCTCTGTGGGCTGTTGACTGGTTTGCAAAAACATTTACAGTAACCATTTGACTTTCCCGGTCTATAGATGGGTTTGGAAATATATTTCAGACTGGCCAATGTTTAACATTACACACCTGTTACACTTCACACACTGGAGCTGTTCCATCGAATCCTTCAGGATATGGCCCTGGTTGTACAGCTTCCAAAATATATCCTGGGCAATTCTGTAACACGTAGGAAAATCTAATGCACTCTGGTTCAGGATTTAAGTTTATTACAGTCATAAATTTATTCAATAAATCTTAAATAACTTTTCAAACTGGTATAAATGAAATGAAAATAGCTATAAATAAAAAGAATGATATATTTTCTAGGATTTAATTAACTACATTATTTGAGCAACTAAGAGCTCAAAATTCAATACCAGGCAAAATTTTGATAATGAATTTATTATGATAACTTCAGTGTTATGTACAAGTATATATCCATTACTATTTTCTGTATTTGACACTATGAGAATTCAACCCCTCAAAATTAATTGAACAATTTACAGATTTGTTGAGACAAAAAACGTAAGATTTAGGAATAAATCCCATTTTTTTTTTAAAATCTCATTCTTGGTAATATTCTAGTTTAAAACTCATAATGTGGGTTAATGAACCAACATGAAAATGGAGTGTTTGTACTGACTTGGTTTGTTGGGTGGTGGTAGTACGGCCGAAGTAGTCGAAGTCGATGTTGAACCACTCGTAGATGTCGCTGTGTATCTTGTTGTATTTGTCACAGATCTGCTGCGGAGTAAGACCCTCCTCTATGGCCTTGGTTTCCGTGGCGGTGCCATACTCATCAGTCCCGCAGAGATAGAATACATTGTAGTTCCGCAGTCGACAGTATCTAAAATAAACACAAGAGAAAGATTAATACATCTGAAAACAATTTTCTTGATTCTTTTAAATTTTTATCATATTTGAATGTTACAATGTGTTATTGAAACATCATTCAAGATTATTGATACAAATTTAAGATTACAACAAACAATTTCAGAAAGCCATATTTGCATCTTCCAGATACATGTAAAATAAAAAAAAACCACTTATTTGATACAAACCAGTGTGGAGCTTGGAAAATAACATGCCATACCTGGTATGTATAATTTTTGAAAGAATTGGAAATTTGATGTGACAATTTCTTATCGTTGGCCAGAAAGATAAAGTTAAATAAATCAGGAATTCACAATAGTTAAGTCTGCTTGCAGTATACTGCCTTACATTATCGAAACTCCTACTTAGAATCTGTATTTATAGTAACTTACATATTTGTACATAAAAGAATAAAAACAGTTCTTTTGTTCCTATCCCAGAATACCTACCTGGAGTAGACATCAGCACTAAGGACACAGCCGATGATGTTCCCTAGATGCGGTACGTTGTTTACGTAGGGCAAGGCACTGGTTATCATGATATTCCTCTCACCGTCCTTAGGCAAGCTAGAAATATAAAATTGTACAGAAACATATCACACAAATCCTGCTCATATCAGAGGACCAGCAGTGGTAAGGTGTCTGTAACTTGTATCAAGTGTTGTAGTTCCTTGTATTCAAAATCATCACCTAGCAATATTTTATAGTTGACAGCATCCTCGATACTCCAGGGGTTACACTCACTTACGCTCTCTGCACCCCTGGAATATGTCGTAGCAAAGTTGAAGGCCCAGTTTGCGCCACGTTGTTGACGAGACAAGAAGACTAGTTTGATCCTTTGATGCACATCAAAAGAAAATTGCAGTCACGTAACGGTAAAAATTGACAGGCTTTGAAGTTGGGTGTCGTTACTTTGTAATCTTCAAATGACAGGTATCAGCTGAGCGATTGGTCAGGTTTTTATACCTGAGACCAATAAACAGCTAACTTTGTGCCTTCAATTTTGCTATGTTCTTCTCTTGAAGAAACAAAAGATCCAAGAACTCAGACAAGTTATCATTTATGGTTGATTCATCATTTTTTAAAACAGAATTTCATATATATATGTATATATATAAATATCATCTCTACAGTATTCATTATGCATAGCTATATATATATATAGTTCATCTTCTCCTAGGATAGGTGATCTGACAATACCATTACCACTGTATGTGTTTATTTTGATTGGAAAACAAGAGGCCCAATGGGTCTGGATAAAACTATCAACATTTGAAAGTAAATATATCACAATACTTCCATCAAAGGCAGAAAAATGAAGAATAATGAAAGGATATCCTTGTTACCCGAGTTAAAAAAACAACACCTCAAAACATTGGGAATATTTAATATTCGTTTAAAAAAAACCTTGTTTTCTTGAGTTTATGTTTTTTTCATCAACACCCAATCCCATCACGACGACAAGAGAATAAATTCCGGATTCAATATCAGTGTCCGGCTTTGATTTTATAGTTACGAGTTACATTTCTATTTGGGTAAAACATGTTTTCAATTGAAATGAATTAACAGCTCTTATGTTGCTGTTTAATGTTTATATCAACTGTCATCACATATTAATTAGCAACTAGCCCCCACTGGATGTGGGATCACTGATTTAATTGCTTAACAGTTCACACATCGGTGAGCAAGTCACCAAGCCATGCGCTGCTTAATCGGCTGTCCGGGCCATTCACAACTTTCACACTTATGCTGTTAATGTGCCTGGCCTGTAATTTTAAGTGGCTGGCGTGTGACTTCAGACCTCTCAGTGACCAAGGTCAGTGTGAATACATGTAGCTATTGTTTATTCACTAAGATTGACAAAATTTTGTTTCTTTTCGTGAGACCGATTGAAATGCATAGAAATGGGTCTCATGCCGCGAGGATTTTTTCTGAAGCAATTTTCGTGAGTCTCACGCCAAAATCGTGAGATATGGCATGTATGCTTTTGTGAAATGAAGATTTAAAGATGTATGCTACCTTACTGTGACATGGACCTCCTTTTCAAAGAGTTCAACAATAAGAAGCATGTAAAATATCTAAGGAAGACAATGCAGACTTGTTTAACTATTGATAAGAAAGGGAAATAGAATTGCATGTATCGATATCACTCTAATATTGAATCGATAGATAATGCTAATAAACAATAATCTGAAGGGAGATAACTCTAACACAAATTGTAGGTAAAATGTGTAAGGTGAGATACAACCATAACTCGGTAAATGCATCATCATATAGAATACTGAAATAGTGTAACAAGACCAATACTAACACAGGGTGGACCCTTTCTCTGACTTTTGGACTGGAGCCCTTCCCAGAATTCCACGCCTTCACAGCAGCAGCTAATTCTTCTGGAGTTACAGGTCTGGCAGCCAGGATCTGTGAATCATGAAAAGTGTTAAGCATTTGGCTATAAAGTTAGGTTAACAACTAAAAGAGAATAATAAATGTATAGAGACAAACTGACTTTAGACTTTTGAAAATAAAATGGGTGATTCGAAAAAAGGTTGAACGTATTAAGTCAAAACTCCTGGTTGCCACACACACTAAAACCTCATCAAAAAGACTTATATTTTTTTTCCAATGTGTTTACCACCAATGTTTTTCAAGGTTGTCTTTTCCTTTTCACTTCACAATCCTTTTAAAAGTTCCTCTCGATAAACTGCCAAACCCCTTTATAATGCCAATAATTTACTCTAAACAAATAGTGGCAATATAACAAGATTTCAATGTATACTTGAGATTCATTTGTAAATAAGTCCTTAAAATTACATCATAAAATACCAGGCTCCTTCCATGGAGACTAATAACTACCAAAGTCTACTCCACATACCTGACTCTCAGCAGGATCAGCCTCCATTTTCTCCGGTTTGCCTTTGCTTTGTTGCTTCTTGTTAGAGTCAGCCACAACCTTGTCTGGCTTAAGAGATGAAGGAGTAGGTGGGGACAACGGGACAGGCTGGGCCAGCAGAGAATCCTACAAACAGGAAGTGATGTGTTAGCATATCCTACAAACAGGAAGTGGCGTAAAATATATAGAGATCCGAGACACACTTTCGACACACTTTCGGTGGTGGCCAAGTGATTAAGATTTCTGACATTCTGCTATCACTAGCCCTTCACCACTAGGTTGCAGATTCCATGCCGATGTGGGGCAGTCGACCGGTACTGGATACTCTGGTTTTCCTCCACCACCGAAACCTGGCATGTCGTTAAATGACCATAGCAGTTAATAGGACGTAACCCCCCCCCCCCCCCCCAAAAAAAACCCTTTAGTAGTTCATTCATTTTCTTCAGAAAGGTATTTTCCACATTGGGTTCTTAAATGGCTCATTAAATGCGAAACTGTCACACTAAGTACATTTACCATAATCACACAAACACTTACCTTAAACACACCAGTATCTTTGCCCCCGACCACAACAGATATAGATTTCTGTACAGCTGGCTCCTCCTCTACTCTACAGAACCACGCCTTGATGTTAGGGTACAGGCCCTCCCAACCTGTAAAACAGCGACTGATGTCTATAAAATACATCCTTCCCCAGATGAAAGATGAAAATATTTTGAAAAGAAAATTCAAAGTTTTCCTTACAGTACATAAGAATTGGTTATGTAATGAAAATAGGAAAATTAATTGAATTATGTAGAAGTATTTGAAATACATCATAGAATTGGTGTTTGTTGGAATATCCTGTCTCAGTACATTTTTCCTTTGTTTTTTCTTGATCAAGTCACGTAAATGCTTGTGCATCCTAGATACTAGAAACAACTTTCTTTCAAACATGCAGGTGACAGTAGTCAAATTAGAAGAACTCTTCAATTTGATAATAACAATATTCTATGTTTCTTCTTTATTCATTGAAATCATCTCGTTATGCTAGACGTGGTTCTAATTACGACAGCTATCACTGCCTACCTTTAATACTGGCTTTGCCTGGTTTAAAAATGGGGTACAATGAACCCCAAAGAGTTATGTCCCCTGCTGTTATCCCAGTCTGCAAAGTATAAAAGAAATATGTTTAATACATTTACTTTGCCATGAATTTATTTTTAACCGCTACAAAAGATATTTAATTCAAACTCTGATACCTTGTGTGAACTATCATAATCAAATAATGAGAGTATTTTTTAGTATTTTTGAGGGACAAATGAGTATGCAATCTGATCATGGTTCTCATTGCAAATCCAAGAATGTTTAATTTTAATATGAACACATAACAGATTCGTATTTTACCTAGATGTGCAGTTTGCTAATACGATTTGATACTACTGTAATGAAGTGTGATACAGATGAGTCCAGTGGTAGTGACACAATGTTTAGTGATTCTGACCTTGGTGAGAGTCTGGCGGCCCTTGAGCTCCGTATTTAGGAGTTTGAGTAAGGTCTGTATCTGAGACAGGAGGAAGGCATCTGGTTTGTTCTGGCCGATCACACTCACAAGGTATGGTACCAACGATGGCTGCAATATAATACACAACATCATAACAGTATAAGTGGTGGGTGCAATGCGAACAAGAGATCTTCTGATTTCCAAACAACTATGTTGGATAACAAATCATTTCATGGTTCTTGAGTAAGCAAGCTTGTTCAAGTAATATAGTTAAATTGCTGTATGTCTTGATTAATTACTATGGTCTATCTATTATTATGTAGGTAGATTCCAACCCATGTCTGTAAACTATAGAAAAGGTGTTATTCAGCAGAGAAGGGAGACCACTCACCTGTAACTGATTACTGTCCCATTCCAGCCATCTGTCCACCGTGCTGTCATCCTCTGGACTCAGCGACTGCTGGTTCAGTAGGTACCTTGGAGACAATACACAATCCTCTACAGAATCAACTTTCAATGTGTGCAAGGACAGTTAAATAAACTTAATTTATTTTACAACAATTAAGAAACAAGTATAACAACTTATTCTAACCACTCTTGTTGACCTAGATGTGGACACACAGGGGGTCTTTATGGTGGAGGACCTGAAGTCACAGAAAAAATCCACATGGTCTGGCAGGTGATGACTCCATACCTTTTTACATCAAATCAGGGAATCAAACCCCGGCTATCTTGGTGAAAGGCGAATGCATTATTCACTGCGCCATCTGACCACCCACAGATTTTGACACAATGCTAAATTTGTTTGTGGGCGAGTACATTTAAATATATAGCAAAAATAAATAAATAATATTAAGGCATTTTGGAAATATAGAACCGTAAATGTAACTGTGTGTTTCTTTTTTGGTTTTAAAATGGACATGAAATCGAACGATACAGATTTCTATATTGTGGTGATTTTAACACACCGTAGATGGGCACAGAAAGTTTTGATGACAGGAACTTAACCAAAATAAAGTGATTGAATCTGTAATAGCTTGATATATAGTATCTTGCCTTACCTTGTGGCAGCTCCAACAGAGAAGAGGAATTTGTTTGGGAAGACTTCTAGTACAGGCAAGGTGTTCCTTGTCAGGTAGGGCACCACCTTATCTGTAACACAGAGACACAAACTGATCTTTTTATCTACCACAATGGTCTATATTTATCAACTCAAGGCCATCCATTAAACAGCAAAGGTGGTGATTAAACATATTAAATTATAATCAACCAGGGCTCCATTCATGAAACCATTCTCATTCTCATGCTTGAATTCTCTGTTCAAGCCGACTTTCTTCTAACTTGCTTAAATTGCGTCACACAGTCAAAAAGTCAACTTTAAACATTGAAAACAGTATTCGGCTGAAAGTCTCTCCAATTTTGTTTCATATCTCGGACAATATACGATCATTTCATTAATTTGTCACTGGCACAAGAACTGGACTTGATGACAGAATCTGGGTTTGATTATTCACAAGTTCATAAGTTTCATGAAATACGGGCCCTGGGGTCCCTTACATTCTCTGCATGAGACAAAAATCAAAAGCTAAGTGTGCGCCACCTTGTGGATGATACAAGGAGACCAGTTTGATTCTTTGATGTACATTAAAAGAATCCCTCTGCAGCATAACGGTAAAATTGACCAATTTTTAAGTCATGTGGTGCTCCTCTGTAATCTTTGAAGGACAGGTAAAAGGCTAGTGATTGGTCAGTTTTTCTCACCCGACACCAATAGTACAGCTTGCCGTGTGTCCCCTGGAATTTTGAGGATGAGGTTTAACCTGAAGTGTTACTATCTCTTACTTGGCTCTGAATATCAGTACCTATACAAGCCAGTAACCTTTCAAATCCTTCATGGGGAAAACAGTGTGGAAATATCTAGCAACAGGCCCATCAGGCCTGTATCCCTCACCTGTCTCTTTTATTATTCAAACTAAACAAGTTTTTTTGAGAACTTAAGACCATAGTGGCCATCGCAGACTTCATATTGACCCCAAAAGAATGAAAACAACACCTGGTAGGAATGATGAGTGGATCTTATGTATGACGTTTGGTAAGAATGATGAGTGGATCTTATGTATGACGTTTGTATATCTTATGTATGACGTTTGTATATCTTATGTATGACGTTTGTAGATCTTATGTATGATGTTTGGTGAAAATTGTGGATTTGGTGGAATTGATAATTAGTTGAATATATCAGCCAAACAGAGGTATGCTAAAATGATCACAAGACAATTAAAATTAGTAGAAAAATTCTGAGCAAATCAAAGGCCAAGGTAATCCATCTCCCCAATAAATAACATGTCTAAATATGATCATTACCATCAATTTTAGTTAGGCCAAATAAAAAAACATGTTTGTTTCTGGTTACATGTCTGAAAAAGTTAGACTTGAAAGGGTAACCAGAAACAAATACAGAAAAAAATATTTGGCCTTAACGTTCATTTATACACAAGTACTATCAGAACATAAGTGTTGTGCAATATAAGTTTCTGACCAGGGGACAAGAGAAACAGGGAAAAGTTTGAACCTCTTTTTTTTCTAAACATTTTCTTCAGGTTTGGTATTAAAGTATGGATTGTGAAAAGTTCTTTTCACACAACCAATACAAATTTCTATGTGATGTTTCGATGACTAGTACGATATGCACACTGTCACTTTCATCAGACAAATGATCAGTGAAGCGTATGCACACAAAGGTGTAAAATGTGTACGAGTTGTCCACATAATCAATGTTTGCACACAAAGGTGTAAAATGTGTATGATCGAGTTATCCACAAAATTGATGTTGATTTGGCTACGCTGTAAGCGTATGTACAATCATTGTTAGAATATTATATGTGTACCGAAATGACCCAAATTTGAACCTCATTAGAATTGTTTATTTTTTTATGAATGAATGAAATGGCTCTCCTTGGGGAAATAGTGACAGGCAAAATTAAAGATCAAAAGTGATTCCCGCTGAACTTATCAATACAATGTGATACACAATGTAATGATGAGAGTACTGAAATAATGTAATTACGTACAGTTATGTAACCAAGTATAATAATGTAATTAACATGTAATTCATGTGATAACTATAAAAACTACTTTACTTACATCTGACCTGGAGGTAAGTAAGCTATAATTACACGAACTTATTACCACAGTTAATGTCCTCCAGGCAGAGTAACCACAGTTGTAACTGGTTGAAGTTTGGAGAAGTGATTCACTGTAGAGTACTGGATTTCATCATACATTACATACAGGATGTCCACATTTATGGTTTGATGGGTAAAAAAACAAATCTTAGCTTGTGTATATTTTAAAGGTAACATGTATACACCTACACTGTTATACCGTCATGAATCACTACCACAGTGTACAGAAATCTTATTGAAATCTTATATTCGATAACTTCTATTTTTATTCTTCTCATTGTATGTATAAATAAATGAATTATGATTGTAAAAAGGAAAAGTCAGAAGGCCAAGCTTTCAAGCTGTGATTGACCTAATTTTAACAAAATGACCTATGACACGTTAGTGTGAGGTTCTTTGAAACCTATATAGATATTTGTACAGCAGATTTACAGTTTGTAATGTCAGGTAGAGGGATGTTAAGTCTCCACCTGTAGCATGTCAGGGGAAACAGGAAATGTTACGTACATCTCGGGGTTGTGTTCGATACACAGTGTAGGACATGTACATGTATAATGTTAATGCTTTCATTCACTTCATTAATCTAACAGACCATCTCAGTCACATAATACATTACAGGGTAACACCGGTTATTGCTGTATAAGAACTGGGGAATGGACCTAGGTCTTCAAAGAAGAAAATTGTTGGCAAAAGTTAGAAATGGAATCAAAATGCATTATATAATTGTTTCAGAATGTAAGTAAATGTCTATCCTAAATTCCTAATAATAAAAGTGTCTTATATAATCATAAAGATTACACAATTTACAAATAAATAAAAAAAAAAAAAAAAAAATTAAACATTGGAATATTATGTGGATCATGCTGCATAGTTTCTATTTGCAGCACGTCTGAGTCACATATGACATAGCATATTTTAATTTACGTCATGTTGTATCAAAACCAACTGTCAGAAAGGTCAAAGTTATAAACCGATTTGATTCGATCTTTTGAATGCCAGGATACTAAAAAAACACATAAGTTTGTATAAAATGAATGCCTTCAGATAGAAGTATATTGTATCTTACTCACTTTGCTTAAGATTTATTTCATGTAAGTCCGTCCTGTTAAAGATTATAAACTCTATGTTTTTTTTTCTTAAGGAATAATGTATTAATGAGATCTAATTCCCAATTTCACAGCACACAAAGAAAAGTTCTACTTCAGAACCTATTTCATCACTTGGTAAATTATTTTCTTAGCATATTCTCCCTTACTAAAAGAAGATAAACGACCTAAAGTTATTAATCTTTTTACAATTCAAGCTTCCAAACAATATCTTAGTAAATTTGCAAGTGCTTTGAATGATTTTTATTGAAACTATTGTGTATTCATACATATTATTCAATAGGCAATCTTCATATGACTTACATAGTTCAGGATAACTGTTACATGAATTTGCATTTTTTTTTTCTCCATAAATTTTGTAAAACAAAATGAAGCTGTTTATGGTGGAGATTATATGCATGCTCAAAATTAAAAACAAAATTGAGAAAAAGTGTTTACATGTATATATACCACTAGGGACCAATTTACCCTCTAAAATGGCATGTTTTGAGTTGTTCTTTCAAGTGAAATCATAAGATCTTAGAATTTAGGAATAGTTAAGCATAGAAGGTTCCAAAATCTGGAGTCTTCCTCCTAGATTAAAACTGTTCGCAAGCGTGCATTTCTTCCTGTATGGGCTGTCGGAGAACACTACAGCACCCATATTTTGAGCTAGACTATATTGTATTTGAAGGGAACCTCTGTGCTAAATAACACCATCCTAAAATATTTACAGTAGAACATCATTATAAGTACACTCCTTATTCCATTTGCCATCTCAACTCACATAGAAATAGGTTTCAACTTTTCAAGATCCCCCTTTTTCTTTTTCTTAACAATTCCTTTATATTTTACCCTCTGTTCCACACCACTTTCAAATGCCAAAACTTCTTTTGACAAATGGTTGCAATATAATGAGGTTTTAACTTACCTGAGTTAGATTAATGAATTTTTACACTTGCACCAAAACCTCAACAGGCAGATTTGGTAAAAATTATCAAGTCTATTTTCATAGCAGGTTATAAATTTGAATAGTACCTCCATGGCAAATATCAGTATCCTAGTACAAAAATAGAAGTCATATTAATGTATTTTAACACTTTCACTAAGACTATGACCATGCGGACATATAAGTCACAGATTCTGGAATATATATACAGAACAATTAAGGAGGACTCCATGACATCCCCCAATTTTGCAAATAGGGGAGGTAACAGATTTAATGTTCTTCGTAGTACATGATTTACAAATGACTAACTCGATCATAATTGTCAAACATGCAATACCTATTTATATACCTTTTATTTAAGCCTCCTTAAGTTAGCCATGTTTACAACATTAACAACATGTCATGAATAGACACCTAAACTTATAATGCAGATGTAAAATTTTGATGATTTTTGATGAAAAAATTGTTCTACAAGTTCATAGTTATCACGATCACAGCAAGACTAATGAATTAAGACATTTTCACAATTGGCGACTTTTGGTCAGAGATGATCAAATAACACAAACTCATGATGTTTTTTAGCTTGACTTAAATACTTATTTTTTTTTACATTTTTCTTTTCTTTGTTTTGATTTTACATTTTTCACAATAAGAAATTAGAAATTCTTGACAAAAATGATTTCTTGTTGACCATCAACATAATAATTTGAATTAAATTATTTTACACAATGATTCAATAGGCAAATACTCCACCATAAAACCAATAATACAAATGTTCTGGTCGTGAATACAATTTATGAAGATCTCGCAGATTATATGATGAAACATTTGACAGTAGAGTGACATATGTCAATCTCTATAAATATCAGGACAGGGGCTCGACTGAACAATGTTTTACCGTCGTGTTTTCTTTCCACCACTTCTAGTTTGATTCCTGATAGTTCTGCTGCTGCCAAAAGCTTCAAGGAATTAAAATTCCACGGATTCGTGTGAAGCTTCATTCCGAAATTACCACGGTTTATGTGAAATGTCAACAATATTGCCGGTAAAGTGAAAATCACGCACGTGTGTAAAGGGCGATAACTCACTTCCTGAGAAAGAGGACCGGAAGTGAGTACTTTCGTTTTGTTTGAAGAAAAGGTATAGGCACACACCCCGTTAAGAAAGATTAAATACGATATATTCTGGCAAACGAAAACTCTGTTATATTGTATATAAAATGTATGAAGATGGTTTGCTACGCGTGTCAGTACGTTTAGATTATTGTATAATGCAATTTTCACTCGAATGAACAGATGGCGCTGCTTACCGGAAGTGAAGTGTTTTGTAAACACTGCATGGATTTTGCATTGGATTTCAATGTTTCGGAGATTCGCTGCTGAAACTGGCACAGCAATCGCGAGATTGGAAAGAAGAGACCACAGATATTCATTTAAATCTAAATTATTTCGTAATCTCGTGGGAACTTCAGCGTTCTGTACATGGAGATGCATTGCTGGATTTCATAGATTAGCAACCAACATGTCAACTTTGGAAACTCTCAATTTTGACAATCTCGCATTGAGATCCCTTCCGATTGACCCTGAAACAAAGGTTTTTCCTCGACAAGTACCAGGGGCATGTTTCTCAAAAATAAAACTTTCTCCAGTTGAAAATCCCATTCTTGTATGTCACTCATCTTCAGCGTTATCTTTGCTAGACCTAAAAGAAACTGAAATTCAAGAGAAGAACTTCTGTGAATATTTAGCGGGGAATAAACTTATACCCGGGAGTGAACCAGCAGCGCACTGCTATTGTGGTCATCAATTTGGATATTTCTCTGGTCAACTAGGTGATGGTGCTGCAATGTAAGTATGAACAACTTTAATCAAATAATTTACTATCTTGCAGGGGGCCTTTTATGTAATGGTTTTATCAGATGATTTATGGTTAAATCGGCCCAAGGTAAAAACGGACTCGATTTACCCAAGTGAAATCGGTCCCCAAGTTCAAATCGACCCTATATGTATACATGGAATATACATAAATGTTATAAAAATCCCCTTTCTTTGTGTTTCATTTGTATATCAACCTCTGAACATATATATTTGAATTAATAAATTCCTTTCTGCATTTCCTTGTCTCAGTCACGAGTTCCACAAAATATAATATTTAATAAAATCAAATATCGACATACGTTCGTGTACATGCTTATAAGAAACATGATTTCATTAGATACTCAGTGCCCGTACATGTATTTTGTACGAGCGCTAGTATCAAATGAAACCATATTTCGGCCATGAATGGAATATACAAATATATTTAAAGAAACTTGATTTCATTTTAAACTATTTGTCCGTTTTCATTATATAATTGTACTTATAAACGGGCTAAAAGTATCTAATGAAATCAAGTTACTTTAATAAAGATTAAGAATTTATTCCTTTTATGGCCGAAAGCAATTCTCGTATTTTGTATTAAATGAAACCATATTTTCGGCCATAAATGGAAACTATATTTGAATTACATACCAGTATCATATGTCCTGTGTTGCCATCTGTTACATCTGTCGCACTGCAACGTATGCTGCCTCGGCCTCACCACACAGTCACAATGTATGTACAGTTGTCGCTTATGATGATTATATATAATTAGGTGCAAATTAAAGTGAATCGATCGTTGTTCAATTGATGTATGTTATTGAAGTGGATTGAAAGTGGTTGTCCAAGAAAATCAATCATATTTATCACCATTTGCGTGAGTGATCAATACATTTGATTGGCTACCTGGAGTCGTGGCTGTGATGCGTAATTATGAGTATTAATTATAAGCAACTCAGTTATAACAACAGTCTGGTAGGGGAACATCATTGTTTGTGTAAGGCAATAAAAACAAAACAACAACACCAGTACGTAATTAAATAAATCCTTTAATATATTTATTTAAATATAATTGTACTTATAAATGTATATATCCCATGTATTTAACATATAGATACATAGTAGGGCTGATTTTAACTTGGGCCGATATCACTTGGGTAAAATCGGCCTGGCCGATATTACCTTGGACCGATTTAACCAAATGCCTATCAGATTTGGCATTTTGTCCAGCTTCAAACGCACATAGGGTAAAACAAGTGACCAATTATCTCTTTCTCTCTCTCTCTCTCTGGGTACAGATCGAGACGTTTCGGTAGATGGTGAATCCAGTACCAAGATTTTTCAGAACACATTTAAGTACTTCTCTATATTTATACCCCCACAATGAAGTTAGGGGGGTATACTGGAATCACCCTGTCTGTCGTCCACAGTAACTTGTCCGGAAAACTCCTCCTTAGCTAACAGGTGGATTTCATTGAAACTTTTCTTGAATGATGGTATCTTATGTAGTTGTGGACTGGCATGTTAATTCGTGATTTCGACCCTTTTTGATGGAGTTATGCCCCTTGTGCAAAATACTTGTTACTGGTGGGAGACTATGGATTGCTTTGCAATGCTTTGCCTTAGTAAGCCTTTAACTTACAGTTCTGGTATATATAGCAGTGGGGATACCGTATTAGTTAGCCTTTAATTGGCTTACAGTTCTAGTTTGTAATATTTTTGGCACTTCGACCAAATTTTTGTATCCTGAGTGTTGCATTATAGGATTACAACATTTTTTGTCTCTACAACAAAAGGATTGAAATGTCTCATTCTTAGGTACTGTGAAACATCAAAGCACTGAAAAGGCTAGAATTTCTTTCTCTCTTTCTGTCAATATATATATAAATCCCTTATTGTTGTCGACAAGAATTAAAGCAATCTCATACTCATTCCAACAAATACCTGAAGTGGCTGTACCAAACGTTAACAAAATCGGTGAACTGGTAACCATTATTTATTAGCTAACGTTTTTGTGCCCCAGATTTATCTTTCAGATGCTACTGAAATTGTTAGTATTCCGTCTTTGCGTATTGCAGAGTTATCTTCTCTTGATAGCAGGTATTGGTTAACGTTGTTATGTCATTTGTTTGTGAGAGTAACGTCATCAAGTTTTGAGAAAAAGACATAATTTTCTCACACGAACCAATGACGTAACAATCAATACCTGGTCTCAAGAGAAGATAACTCTGCAATACGCAAAGACGAAATAGCAAGGAAATGAATACAACCAAAAAATAGCCTGATACAGTGTAGCTGTATACACAATTTTCTGTTTTCTGTTTTCAAACTCGATTGTTTCTGCTGTGTTTTGAATTGAGATAAGAGTTGATGATGGGATGAACATAATAATGTTATGTTGTTATCTTTTCTTTAACTTTTATATTTTCTATCTGACCTGGCCCAAAGATTTCTTGTCAATCAGCTTTTACTTGAAATACATATTGGTCAGGTGAATCATCTTTATACCATAGTTTTCCTTCAAAACTGGTTTCTTTGATTAGTTAAGCAAATTTTGACCGTCAAGATGTAAGTTGGTATTATACACATTTTTAGGGAGAAGGGAAAAAAAAGTAGGAGTCATGCTGAAAAGAGATTGACTTTGCAAAAGCTCTCTTAAGAATAAGTACATGTGTATTTAGTGTTATCAGCAGAGGAGCAATGCTACATCATTGTACATTGAGGAAATACTTTTCAGATAGGAATAAATTTCTACAAAAAATAGATGAAATTCTCAGCATTTGTAATTTGTTTGGTTGTAATATGTCCCTGACAAAGTTGTGGCAGATTGTAATTATATTTTTGCAGATCAGGGCACAACAGCTTTCAGATTTTCCCGTTTAAATATCGCTACTGCAAAATGTGTCAATTTAAACCTTCACACATGTAATCCATATTTGGTCTGGAAAAGTAAGTGTTGTTTTTCGAGGTCAAATATTTAAAGTCAAAGTCACCAGATCAGAGAGTGATATAGAACATTTGTTTCTGGATGATATCTTTTTGACAGCAAAAATCTTATGAGTTTCAAACTTTACACTTGCAAAACTGTTTTCCTAAACAAGGTGCTTATTCTTTATCAGTCACAGAGGTCAGAGGTCAAGGTCACTAGTGAAGAATTTTAGAAAATTTGTGTTTACAGATGAAACTGAAATATACTTCCCTCATCATGTGATGTAAACATTCAGGCCAGAAGAAATTGCTTGTTTTAGGGTCAGAGCTCAAAGGTCAAGGTCACAACCTTGTCACTTTCGAATTCTCTCACACACGTTCTGCTCACCTTTGTTTGTTAGCTGGTCATGATTGTGCCACATTTGTATTGCTCTTGTGTGAAATATATTAGAGATAAGTATAAAAACTGTACAAGCTACATGTATTGTCATACATGGACATAAATTAATTTTCTTTGTAGTAACTGCTTGCTTTTTTTTTTTTTTTGCTGACTAGTGTCAGAAGTACCCTAATATAATTCTTCTGTAGCAGTTGAACGTTGAATCTTACTTTTACTGAAAAATGAATCTTACATGTGATTGTCTCCGCTTAGGTATTTGGGTGAAGTGGTGAACAAGAAGGGTGAGCGTTGGGAGATTCAGTTTAAGGGGTCAGGGCTAACCCCATATTCTAGGACGGCTGATGGGCGCAAGGTCCTGAGGAGCACCATCAGGGAGTTTCTATGTAGTGAGGTAATATACTTTAGTTTGTATGCATATCACAGACTTACAACATGATACAATGTATACTAGTAGATATACACATTTTTTTGAATGTACAACTTATTATGACAGGGATCAATGTATTTAGAAATTTGTCTTGTTTAATAAAAGGAGAAATATCCTTTAAACAACTGTGGTCTTGACTCCTGCCGGTTGTAGAAACTTTTATTGGAAGACAAAGTTACTTGTTTTATTAGACTAGAGCGATGGCAATATTTGGATACTATATATATATTGAAAACATGGTATAAGTATACCTGTTTCTGAAAATGAGAAAGGAAAATCTGAAATGAAACAGGTTTGTACAGGAATGCTGTGTTGTGAAATATTTTGGCTCTTCTAAGCCTGGTATAAGAAATTGACAGAATTTGGAGCCACATTTAATTTTGAGGGGAAAAAAATGACTCCATTGACATGAACAGTGTAATCTATGATATCCTCATGGATCAAATATTAATCTGAAATAGACATATTTAGTTAATGGAGACCATTGCCAGAATGAATGCATACTGTATAAGGATAGTGTGCTAGGGTTATTTTCTACTTTTAATTGTATTTTTACTCTCCCAAGGGAGAGTGGGCCGTTCCCGGAGGTACTGCAATACCGGGCCAACCCGGGGCAAGAGCGGAGCAAGCCCCTGACATCTCACCTAAGTCCAAAAATCAGTTTAATATCGAAGTACCCCGGTGGGGTACGTATCAGATATTAAGCTGATAAGAACAGATACTACACTTTGATCTTAGCCAAAAGGCCGAGAAGCGATACCTACTCAATGGTAAAAATACCTTATAGAGGAAAAATCAAATTTTCTAAAAAGGGTAAAATGTGAATTAGAATAACAGAAAATAAATGTTTTAAAATCTTGAAGTCCATCATTCCTGAAATATTCATTGGAACAGAAGAGAAACGCTATTATATTTTATAAAATATGATCTGTTTAAATAATATTAAGAAGTAGCAGTTTTGTAAATAATCCAGTTAATGTAGTCATCATTACATGCTCTATCTCTGATATTCTTCAGTTACCTCCCTTTATATTAAGGCCTGTCGCAGGTATGTCAACATACCATATGTACATAGTTTATTATTAGAGAAAGATTAAGTCTTAGAGTGTGTAAGGTGTTATACACAGGTTTCTGGAAAAATATTCAACATCTGTTACACTCTTTTCTGTACGAAACGTCTGGTGAATCGATAAACCTGCGATCCCTTTATTATACTATAACCATTATAATAGTCTACTCCATGTACATGTATAGACTTGAGCTATGCTATTAACGTCAGGGCCATTATCCTTCACTTACCAAGGACTGTAAGCCTGAGGGCTTGTCACTGATAGCAAGGCATTATAATCAGTATTTATAGCCACGCTAAACATACATACTGTGTACCTAAACCTTATATTAAAGGGAGGTAATGGAGAACGACAGAAAAAGTGTTGTTAAGACAAATTTAATACTAAATGGTCTTTATTTAACAAAATCCCATTATTTAGATATTATTTGAATTTGTGGTATTCTAGAGTATAGTAAATAGATTCTCTTTAGTTCACTTGGATATTGCTGTAATGACAGTTTACAAGATTTTAATGATTTTGTATTCTGTTATTCTAATTGCAGTTTTACCCGTATTAGAAAACTTGATTTTTCCTTTATAATGTATTTTTACCATTGAGTAAGTATCGCTTCTCGGCCTTTTGGCTAAGATCAAAGTGTAGTATCTGTTCTTATCAGCTTAATATCTGATACGTACCCCACCGGGGTACTTCGATATTAAACTGATTTTTGGACTTAGGTGAGATGTCAGGGGCTTGCTCCGCTCTTGCCACGGGTTGGCCCGGTATTGCAGTACCTCCGGGAACGGCCCACTCTCCCTTGGGAGAGTAAAAAAACAATTAAAATTAGAAAATAATCTAGAAGAAAAGCTCCAACGATATCATTTAAATTATGATTTTCTATAAATTTTATTCAAGATTTTATTGCTGTTGGAATTGTATGACTTAATAAAATAGAATATATATATCTACAACATTTCTATTTCAAAATCTCCATTAAATAATGATACAATGTAACACAATGTAAAATAGATTTCGTAAATTGTCATGTGTAGTCAACAAATTTGATGAAGTGTAATACATAAACAATCAAGTAGTCATTATTGATTAATAAATTAGTTGTTAATTAAAAATGATACATGTACAATGGAAACTTGGACAATTGTTACAAAAATCCTTTTTAAGATAGCATATGTCTTTTAAAAAATTGTAGTGATGTTTTAATGAAGTAGAAAATCCTTTTCCATGCAATTCTTACACACAGTTCATGTGTTAAAAAATGTAAACCCTCCAGTCTGTTTGTAGGGGTTTCTCACGCTGACATTTTGTAAGCAAAAACACATATATGCTGCCAGGTTGGTTGACTTATGTGTACACTCTGGACAATATTTTGTACCTGGGTTCTGACTGTCAGTGTGTCACAAAGAAAATAATCTTTTCCTATGGATAATATGGAGCATAATTTATTGAAACATATATGCTGTCTGAAAAAATGATAACGGTCGAGGAAATAGTTTGAAATAAGATTTTTGTTTGTTTGTTTTTTATGATGTGATAAACTCTATACATCATCTATTACTAGTTACCATGCAGTAGAAACAATCTACAAAACAAGAAAAAAAATCAAAATAATTTTATTACAGAAATAATTAAAATGATTTATTAAGAAAATGTTACTTTTTGTTCAGGCAATCTTCCACCTTGGAATTCCTAGCACACGGGCTATGACATGTATGACTTCTGACTCCAGGGTAGTCCGAGACATCTTCTACGATGGCCATCCTATACACGAACGGTGCTCCATCGTTCTGAGAATTGCACCAACCTTTCTGAGGTAAGTAACTTCTTTGGGAGAATATCCTCATTCACAAAGTGTTTTTTCTCTCTCATTTTTTTTGGGGATGAAAACGGAATTAAATGTTTTATCAACATACATGTATTTAAACCCATGTTTTTTTGTTTTTTGTTTGTGTTTTACATCCTGTTAACAGCTATGGTCATTTAAGGATGTGCCAGGTTTTGGTGGTGGTGTTGGAGGAAAGCCAGAGTTCCCGGAGAAAAACCACCGACCTACGGACAGTACCTGGCGACTGCCCCACGTAGGCCTCGAACACACGACCCAGTGGTGAAGGGCTGGTGGTAGCAGAATGTCAGAGGCCTTAACCACTTGGCCACCGCGGCCCCTAAAAACATACGGTCCATCCTCAATTTTTTTTTTAAAAATCAGGATGTTTAGAATTTGTGTGAAAATGTCATATAATATGATCATTAGAAAAGGCAATTTTGGAGCACAACTTGAAGCTGTCAAGATAAATGAATTTCTATTGTGTTCATTAGCATACATTTTGAATGCAATGTTTAAAATACTCCTCTTAATCCTTATAACCATCACTTGATTATTTTGTAGGTTTGGATCATTTGAAATCTTCAAACCGATGGACCCAGAGACTGGGAGGAAAGGCCCGAGTGTGGGAAAGACTGATATTCTGATACAGATGCTGGATTACACCGTCAAAACATTCTACACAGAGGTAATTCACAGCACTGATGGTGAAGCTGGTAAAAAAAGATACCGGTTCAGAAAAGTTCTAGCCTTAAGATAAACAAATCAACATGGCATGTATATTGTACTTAAACTGATTATTTTAGTATATTATGTATATATTGAAATATCCCCATGAAAACAACCGCGGTGATGACATTTGCCCAGAATCTTGATTGGATGAAGAGCTGCCAAATTTGCTCAAATGAAAGACCTTGACCCACTTTCAAGGTCACAGGAGTCAAATGTGTTCAAATATTTTAAGAGGTTCTTTTGAATGACTAAACAGTCATAGGTAATGATATTTAACCTGTAGCTAAACTTAGTCCAATTAAATAGGTGTAACCTAAGTCCACTTTTAAGGTTGCAAGAGTGAAATTAATACCAGGTCAGCAATGCAGGCCCATTAGGCCTCTTGTTATAAAATATCTTGTTCAGCATGATATATTTAATGTATTTCAGATATGGGATCAGTTTAAAGAGGACAAACAGAAGATGTACCTGGAGTTTTTCCGTGAAGTTGTACGGCGGACGGCACGTTTGGTGGCAGAGTGGCAGTGTGTTGGCTGGTGCCACGGGTAAGTCCTCATCAACCGCAGACATGTTACTCTTCTCTGATGTTCAATGGGATTCTGAAACTGTAAAAACCATTAAAGTCTTAAGTGATCAAGCACTTAACAATCCAGTATATTATTGTCAAAACTTCACCAGTTACTATTAAAGAAGTGTCTCATTGTAATAATAATAATAATAATAATTCGAGGTTGTTATATACCACTTTATCACAACCTAGTTCGTAGGTCGTCTCAAAGCGGTTCACAAATTATTATTCGTGGTTATAGGGCCTTTGCAACCAGCTAATATCGTTCTCAACTCCCGGGCGAGCATACAGCCAGTGCTGCCATTTCGGCGCTCACAGCTAGCATTCTGCAATTCTAGCACTGTCCAACCACATACTCTTTTACAGCTGAGTAGACTGGGTGTTGGATTTGTTGTCTTTAAAGATGAAATTATTATTTAAACAGCGAGTGTACTAAAATCCTAGTTGTAAGCCTTCTACATACTTGAGTGAAAGCAGAGAAAGAGACAGGCGGACTGATAATTAGATAAATCTTTACACTATGTCAGAAATTCTCAATTCAATCTAACATTGTCCTTGTCAGTGTTTCTGCTAATGATATGATAATGACACCTGCCTTCAATGATTGGCTTTGTGATCAATGACTTCCTTCATCTTTTTCAGGGTTCTAAACACGGACAACATCAGTATATGTGGTGTAACTATAGACTACGGTCCGTACGGATTCATGGACAGCTATGACCCAGACTTTGTCTGTAACGCCTCAGGTAAGCTGTCCTTTCAGTGTGACAAAGCAGGTTTTAGATCTCCTTTCCCTAAGGGTCAAGTGAGCTTATGTCATGGTACAGCATCCGTCTTCTGTAAATTCAGCATCAACTTCGTTTTCGCCAATAGCATGCTGGGATAGAGGGCTATCAGTTTTATCAAATATTAATCTGGAACATCTTTCGAGGTCAAGGTCACAGGGGCTATATTTGTAAAAAAAAAATAACCAAGAAGCACTGGGTCAGGAAATTGGTACAGTAGCATACTGGGATGAAGAGCCTTGGTCCACTTTCAAGATCCAATTTGTTATTACTTTTTAAAAAGTTCTTGTCAATAACTAAGGCACCCATTTAAGGGCGTAGAATTAGTCAGTAATACATGTACAACATAATTATGTACCTCTCAAAGATTATTATCAAATTATTTGAAAATTCTTCATTTTACATAATGACCCTGTTTGCATTACAGATGATGGTGGTCGATACACATATCAGAAACAACCCGAGATTTGTAAATGGAACTGTGAGAAATTGTCTGAAGCTATACAGGAGGCCATTCCTCTCTCACAAACAGACAAAGAACTGGGGATATTTGACGAGGAATTCTCACGGCACTACACGCAGAAAATGAGGAAAAAGGTTTGTACATTTACTGACTCCCCCAAACCAACATCTTTGTAGCATCACTTAGGACAGCTTCAATTTTCACAGCAATTTTGTCAGCACTTACATGGTAGAAATGTTCAAGTGTCCACATTGTAAATGTCATACAACATCTTTATAGATTATAGATTTGGGATAAACGGTTTATCTCCAACTACATGATGTAGACCGACGTCTGAAAAGAACCCACAGCCAATCAATTGCTACTTTTATAGAAAATAAATCTGCTAAATGTTTACGTAATGTGAAATAAAAGACCGATACTGAATGTAGGTGTATTATTTACGAAATGTGATCACCGGAATTGAAACCCTGATTTACTTAATCAGAATGTTTCAATCAATTCTGCATTTAATGTTGGCAAAATCATTTGGCTACCAGTTTTGTGTTTTACTAATGTTTGTACTGACGGTAACCTTTGATGTGATTCAGTTGGGACTGCTGAACACAGAATTACCAGAGGATGGGTATGTATTCCTGTCATTGAGATCAGTGGCAGAATTCAGCTTTCTTTGATCATTAAGGCAATTAAATCGACATAATTTAGTTGTGTGTTTAGCGAAATTTTAACAGAAAACTCCTGTAGAATGTTAGACTTTTGTCAATATGTTTTGTCATTAACAAAAGTGATTTCAACACGCGGCTGAACAATTAAGATGAATTGTAATACCCTTTTTTGGTCTCCAATAAGAGGGCCTTTTGCCCTTTTCTTAACTGGCAAAATTTGTTTTTAAAAGACCAGTAAGCATGAGATATTTACCTTAACCTGTTCTTTAATATCATCATTTTGGGATATTAATATCAATTCCCATAAATGTTGTTTTTAAAAATTGTTTGGTAAAATGTGTATTTTCAGTTTGTTGGTTGAAAAGTTTCTGGAGACAATGAACATGACGGGAGCCGATTTCACTAACTGCTTCCGTTGTCTCAGTCGTCTCCCCTTGCCAGGAAGTTCCAATTATGACGCTGCTGTCGCCGAGTTGACAGAGTACATCCTATCCCAGTGTGCCACAGTAGAGGAAATGAAAATGACGTGTAAACCTACAATGGACCCAAGGTAATAGGTCACGGTAATTTACTATAGATCTGAGGAAGTTTGTCCCTACAATAGATCCAATGCGATCATCTCTCTCTTTTTCTATCACTCTTTTTTTTCCGACTCTACCGGTTTTACTATCCTTTACTACATTTCTCTCTCTGTCTTTTCTTCTACCCCATTTTCTATTTTCATTTAAAAATGTAATTTACATATATTGTGTAAATTGCCTTATCAAGTTATTGGTCATATTCATGTATTTGAAGAAAAGGACTGTGATAAGTTGTGAAAACTTGTGTCCAATTCTTTTGAAAATATTATTTGCAATAAAATATGTTTAAATCAAGAATAGATCCAAGTTATATGTCTGAAGATGAACTTCAGTGGTCTGAGGTAATTATACCCCATGCAAACGGAGGTTGGGGTGGTTATATAGTAATAAGCCTGTCTGTCCATCAGTCCATCCATCTGTTCATGAACCTTGTAAGCTCAACTCCTCTTAAACCATTTGTACATCATATGTATTCCGTCTTTGCATATTGCAGAGTTATCTTCTCTTGTGAGCAGGTATTGATTGTTGCGTCATTGGTTTGTGTGAGAAAATTACGTCGTTTTCTCAAAAATTGATGACGCTACTCTCTCAAACCAATGACGTAACAATCAATACCTGCTCACAAGAGCAGATAACTCTGCAATACGAAAGCATGAAGAAAGGAATTTGCAATTCAACAATTTTTCCTAGAGTTACTGCCTTTTAAACTAATTTCTGCTCCTTAACTTTGTTACTTGACACAGTGAAAACATCATATGTAGATAAGGAAAGGGATCTGTGCTTCAATTTTCATACCCCCTGTAAACAACATTTGAATACCTAGATAAAATGAAGGGGGAAGGAGGTATATGTATGTGAGCTTGCTCACAGTTTCTCTACTTTGTCATGTAGACCTTAGATGATATGAGGTACATTGTAATTTGTCATATAAACCTACAATGGATTCGAGTAATAGATGTGTCATGACATCATCGGCCAGTTCTCACCTGGTTACCGTGGTAATACAGAGGTATTGTTTCTTTCTGCAGACAGCTACAGATGTTTATGACGCTGATGCAGACCAACCCAGGTATACTAAATGCTCTGGGGCGAGGTTTAAGCGCCTTCACCAAGGAAATAGAGAAGATGGAGAAATCCAAACAGCTTCAGGTAAAATTCTATTAAGACCCAATTTTTGATAATTGTTACATAATTATGAAAGTGAACACATGTAGTCGGTATTAAAATACCCAGTTAAGTCGGGGTTAACAACCTTCTGACCATAAAAATATCTCAAGACCAGCATTTCTTAAGGAATTGTCTTGTAAACAAGGACAGATTTTGTTTATCATTAAAGTTGTAATGGTTTGTTGACTTCTATGGACAGTTTTCTCTGAGGTTAACCCTTTCACCCCTAGGTAACTTTAGTAGACTCTACCACACATTGATCTGGATGAGTCCATTATGATCCACAGTGGTGAAAGGGTTATTAATCAATAAATCTGTGTAAATCACTGCAAAGTCTCTGATCTCCTGCTCAATATTATATCCCTTGGGTTTGAATGACCTTATCCATACCTCACATCAGGGATGGATTCTATTCATCTCACACCGGTAAAAGTGTGGATACACCTGTCGAGGGTAAGAAAAAGGCCAGTGTGTCCCTTAAGGTACTGATTTGGTTATTGGACAATTGGTTAGTGGTTGTAGAAGTGACAAGGCTTGCCATTATCCTAGGTGTATTAAAATACAAATGTGCTTGTTTTGCCAGGATTTGACACAAAAATCTAAAACAGAGGCAGACAAAAAACTTTGGACTGAATGGCTAACACAGTATACAGAAAGACTGAAGTTAGAGGTCAAAGATGGCAGTGACCTTGAGAGTGCAAGTAAACAAAAGTCAGAGGTCATGAACTCTGTAAATCCAAGGTAATTGCCCAGAAATATTTTATTTTGTAATTGCTGAACCTGATCTATCAGACTCATCATGGTTGACTGTAAGTAGTATGATGTCTGTTGTTTATTTCATTCTCAAATGTATTGAACTGAAAAAACACTCATATAATCATTTATTGTGCATATACTCTTGTTTTGTTGGATCACCAAGGATAACGTGATGACAGATATTTTGTCCTTTCTGTATTACGTAATGTTCAGAATTCTGGATTATCTCCCCTTAGACTATAAATTGTCTGGTGTTCAGCACAAGACCAGGGCATTTTGAGTTATCTGAACGATCGGTTTATCTACTTTAAAAGACAGTATTTCCAAGAGTAGAGCTACGAACACTTAATTTTTGTCAAGGTCCTTCCATATTTTATTGCAACTCTGGTACACCTGGCCCAAATATGAATGTTTTTACCAAACTACAGTATAAACTTCAAACTTACTCTTATGTATCATATAAAGTTGGTCTGTAATACAATCATTGTTTCAAATCACAGGGTATTTTTTTTTAAATAATCATTCAACTTTTTCAATTGGCACAACCAATGTTTCAAGTCTGATTCAACAATTTGAAGACATTCTCAAAACTCTGAATCATATCTGTGAAGCAAGGATGTAACCAGCTGAAGACAACAGAAGTTACACATTATGTAATGTTAAAACATTTATTGTAGCTAGTTTGCTCTTTGTAGCTATTGATCATAATTATGACATTTCCAAAGGAATTCACTTGTGTTAATATCCATACAAAATCATTGTAAAATTGTTACCTGACTGTTTCTTGAATCCTGTCAGATTTATTCTGAGGAACTACATAGCCGAGAACGCCATCAGAGCTGCAGAGAAGGGAGATTACTCCGAGGTACAGAGGGTGCTAAAGTTACTGGAGAATCCATTCGGTGAAGCTGGTGACCTTAACAACCTCTCAGATCTGTCACTAGGTGGCAGCTCCTCCACAACAGATGCAGACTCGGGTAAATAAAATTAGGGCCTTGTTAAAATAACCAAACTATCAAGTTATGTGTTGTTTCAAAGGTGGAAAGACCAGCCTACCTGATCTAAATGACATTCTTTCCTTATAATTTATGTATTAAGTGTAATTAAACTCAGTTGAATTAGATGTATGTAACCAAAAGTTTCTGCAAGGTAGGATACATTGAGTACTGAAAAAGAGACTGTGTTTTACCACCTAAATTTTAATTTAAATCTGTAATTTGCAATAGGGAAATGATCCTGTATTTGTACCTTAGTTTTCTCCGACCCTAATTAATATGACAGCGAGAAGTTTTTTGGCAATGGACATTCTAGATGTCTTGTAACTTTATTTATGATCTTTTCTGTTTACAGCAGGAGCTGCAGGTACCAGCGGTACTACAAGTAAGGGAGATAACTCTAAAACCTATGGTACAGCAGTTCAATACGACAGTAAGCCACCAGATTGGGCGCAGGATTTACGAGTTTCCTGATCCTCGTAAACGCCTTCCTTCAGTGACACAAGCTCGACCGGACAGTGACCTCCGAGGATGGACATATTTGGTTGAGCAGAATGTTGAAGGGAGGTGTTTCCTGTTGTCTGTACAACTGTGTTAGGGACTTTGATATTATTGTGGGTTTATGTCACGAGTACAAGTCAGACATGCAATATGTAGCAGATCTGAACAAGGTCAGTCGCCTGTATGGTTCAGTATTGAATGGTAGAATATTTTTCTACTCTTCGGGTGTGTGATTTTTGTTCTGACCGGTTGAATTCCCTTCCTGCCTGTTACACATTGTATGATGATCGAAAAAATTGAAAGTATTAAAGTATTAAACAAATAATAAATTATTGATACAATGATTAATGGAGTGATAAAAAGATAAATTTTGGACAGTGATGGTACAATGATTTATATGATATGTAGATTGTAATGGTAACACAGTAGTACAGACAGACCTTACTGTAGGTATCTTTGATGTGACGCACATACTAATGAAGGTATCAGTTTAAACTTAGTAACCTAGGTAACTGATGCTGGATGTATAACGATACTGCAGTACGGACATCCTAATTAAAACAGAAAAAATATTTAATTATGTTGATCACTTTGGAAGATACTTTTGTAAGTGTTTTACATAATTATGTTTTATCAACTTAATTACTCTTGTTGGCCAAGATACAAAGCTTGAGGGGTTTTTGATGTAGCAGGAAAAGGGAGTACCCAGAGAAAACCCACATAACCCGATACCTTTTCACATCTGATCGGGGAATCGAACCCTGGCCATCTTGATGAAAGGGGAGTGCGCTATTCACTGTACCATCTCACCACGCATACCTTTGCCTGTTAATGGTTTTCCACCACCTGCTTTTGTTGGCGGCATGCCTTTTATGATGTGCCTATGTAAAATCCATTCATATTGCCGTAGTGGTGATATCTGCGCCTGTTCAGGCTGAATGGTAATGTGCTGTTCTGGCCACAGGGAATTTCTCGTTCGTGTATTAAAGAGCCCTTATTGGTATCAAACAGCCTAGGATCTATCGGTTACAGTGTGTTTTGATGTAAATCTGTACTGAATGAGTTGTATTTAGTATGGATAATCGGATCCTAACGATACAAGCAGGCAAAACCAGATAAATGTACTGTCTAGTCAGTAAGACTCCTCATTACAAATCTATGACAATGAAGCTTAGTTTCCATGTATTTTGAAGTATGGTGACACTGTTGTTACGAGGAAGGGAAGTAACTCTAATGGAATCATTTGTTTGATGTCACATGCAAGATACATCTTTATGATGTCAATACTGACAATGACATGTACGAACAAATAAGATTTAATGGCAGACACTAAGCAGAGGCACAATGTGTTATCTACAAAGACACTAAAAGGACTTCATTTATGCATTGTTTGTACTTGGTGTCAATATTGGGAAATTCATAAAATCCTATAAATTACTCAAGATTATTGATTTTACTTGATCTCAATGCATATTTCATGCAAATTTTTACACTTGAGTTATTTGATGATGCATATTTATATTAATTGTTTATTTCATACATATCATTATAAATATATGATGCAACAGATATGTGATATACAGAAAAACCTGTTTTCACCTACATCTTGTTTTACCGGACATGATTTGTAAATAACCGGTCTCTGTCTTTAATCCCACCTTTACCATCAAACCCTCTTATCTGGACAAACAAATTGTTTCCACTTGCCAATAGAAAGGACAGTTTGCAGGAAAATGGATTTGTATTGAAAATTGATCGGTTTACCCTTTCCGATTCAGATTATAAATTCCGTAATCGATATAATCGGTTCATCATTGAAATCAAAGTATTTAAATGTCTTCTCTGTCAAGTATGCTTTGAAAGTCATATACTCTTGTAATTTATACTATATGATTGATAAATATGAAGTTGCTTGATTGATAATTATGAAAGAACGAATCCTTATAATGCAGTGAACAACTGTCTATTGTAGCAGTGATGCTCTCACTTTATTTTGGTTTTCAGTTCCTGAAAAATTGTAAACCAATTATGCAATCGATCATTGATCGGTTTACTACTTCCAATTACAGAGCTCTTAACGATTATGATTTTAAACCGATTGCCCATCAACAATTTGTTGATTCTGTCTTTGCCTTTAATAACATGCAACACATATATAGTGATTTATTAATGTTGTAGAGATGGATATTACAATTAAAATATATAATTATGAATGGAAATTTTCCGTGTCCTTGTTTTGCTTAACATTCATTATTAAACATATGCAACTTCAAAAAGTTTTCCTTTGAAACAGTGAACTATTAACCAAATGAGTTGTTTACTGCGAGATGTGTACATCAAAATATTTAATGATTTTAAGTAAACATACCAGTATAATGTTGTACGGTGAGATAAAGGTAGTCATCAAACTACATGATACATATAGCCCTCACACAATGCCATATAATACATGTACTTTTACCGTGTCCAAACTTTTTCTGATGCTGCAGTCTTAACATAGATACGCAAGAATTAACCACCATCTGCTGTGCGAGATGGAGAAACCGTAACTTCAAACCTCTTTGTTAAGGAAGAAACCTGGAAAACTTTCTTACATCTACAGGTTACTAAAATTCTATTTTCAAACAGGTATTTTGATCTCATTAATTGTGACGTCACGGCACATGTTCATCCAATCACACGAGGAGACAGAAAATCTCACATGAACAAAATGGTAGAATAATGTCCACTGATGTGAGAAATAGCTTGTTCAGTTGTCCAAAATAACAAGTTTCCATAATTATCTATTCAAGTAAATATATACATATATTACAGAATTGTGAAGCAGGTTTGTAATTTACGTGATGATCCTTTTCACATATTTGGGAGAGCCTACCTTGTATATTGTTTCACCTACCATGATGTGTTTACTGGGGAGGTAGTTAGTTGTTCATGATTCATAGCATGTGGAAAGTCACTTTGTTCTGTGATCGATGTTGAAGCATTTTCTGCCTTTGATAAACTAACCAACACACCATCAAACAGGCCGCCAGACAATAAAAGGAGTTTCAATCAGTTGTTTAATCTACCTGCCTAGGAAACAATTCCAGCGTGATTTACATGCTATATAAAAGATAGATGATGACAGTTAATCAAGGTGGAAATAAAGATATTAAAAGAATGCAGAAATACATTTCAATTTAAGCTTTGTATTTTTTTGGCGATATCTACGTAATAAATTTCACCTGAAATAGCCATTGGTCCAGAGTACCTTCAACATCTTTGTTCGCAAGTTAACTCCAATGGTTATTTTTGCTTTCCTATTGGGTTCCAGTTGAACAGATTTTAATCTATTCACCCCTAAAGTCACATTTGAACCTTACCAAATCAAAGCCTGGGCAAGTCCAGTTTTAATAAGTAGGGGTGAATGAGTTAATATCCCTTACCCATCCGATTGGCATGTGCTGCTTGGAATTTGCTTCACCTCTGTTAGGGAGCTTAGGGAAATTATCCAATTGGGAAATATGTATCCATATGCTATCTAACTAAATATTTATATGAATAAAAGATTTAAGATTGAGTTGATAAGGAGTATATATGTATGTTGTTGTTGATATTACGGATATCAGAGATGAGAATAAATAAGACGGACTCAAAAGTTGTATGATTCCAAATCTTATTTTATGGTATAGATTTAATGGTATTCTTCAGCATAGATAAAACAAAGTAGAATTTTCTTTTATTGCACTGTACACAAGCTTAGTTTATAAAGCAGCGTCGTTGACCAGAAATTCTCACGACAAACATTTGTGTCCATTGGATCCCATCTGTTTTACCATCTTACATAACAAATAGTACACAAATTTACTGGCACAATTCAGTGATTTGATATTGATTTAGTTCAAATTATTACCCAGCGAATCTGTCATGATAGTTCTAGCGAAAGAAATTACAGTTACTGCATTACACTGGACTACCTTAACCCTTTCACCCCTAGGTACCTTTAGTAGACTCTACCATACATTTATGTGGACGAATCTATTGTGGTCAACAGTGGTGAAAGGGTTTATTTAAAATTACTGCAATTAATGTCTTTAAAGATTACTGAAAGTTTTAATAATGAAATATGTTCAGGCTGAGTGGAATACATTACAAAATATTTAGGAAGAGTTACCATTTTAACTGATTCGCCCCTGACGACACATTTGAACCCTTCCTATTCAAAGGTTGGAATAGTTCATTATGAAATTTCAGGGGTGAATGGGTTAAGGGATAGAAGTAAAAAGTCTTCTAACTACCTGTGATAAAATGTTATTTTATAATCACCGTTGATGTAATACTTTTGGAGGGAAGCTGGCAATCAATAAATATCGCAGCACATGTAAAAAGTAAACAAAACGATCCAACACACATTTAGATGTCTCCTTCCTCTAGGAGGTAATGAAAAGGTCAAAACAGAAGCACTTCTACACATAAAATCCTAGTACATATTTATAAATACCTAGAGCTGCAAATCATTACAAAAGTAGAACCGTATACATGTATATATATGTCATCTCAAAGATACACTTTTATACGGTTTTAGTAAATAACCAACTTTTGTATTACAGGAGTGTGGATTGTAATATCAGCCAAAAAAGCCAATCTAAACTACTTATACACTTTTACAAAGTTTTAGGACACAAACCTAAGAAACTTTGTAAACTGGACTGGTTTGTATGACAAATGGATGTTTCAGAGCAGCTAACTAGACAAATATTGTAGATGAAGACCCATTCAACAAAGAAATAAAGATATATACTTCAGAACCTGTGTTAACTGTACACCACCAGTTTGAGTTCATACACGTTTGATTTACAGAGGAATGTATACTAGGGAGATCTACCGTTAGTTTGTACTAGTTTCCTGATAACACATGTACAATTAACAAAAATAATACATGTACCGGTATATACAGCAGGACCTACTGAAATGTCTGGTTCATACAGGTTTTCTGATAACACCGGTTCAATTAACAAAGGTCTGGTTTATACAGGTTTTCTTATAACACAGGTTTAATTTAGAAATATACACCATTTGACCCAGTTGAATTAGGTCTGGTTTATACAAGTTTTCTGATAACACAGGTTCAATTTAGAAATATACACCATTTGACCCAGTTGAATTGGGTCTGGTTTATACAAGTTTTTTTAACTAGACAGGTAAAACTGACTAGAAAATATATAGAGTTGGACTTAATTCGTTGAAGGTTCGGATTATGAAGGTTTTCTTATTTCACTTATTCAATTAACATAGAAATAAACGCACTGGAACCAAGGCCCTGCTCAGTTAATGCTCATTGGGCATCGACAGGCTAATTTGCTGGCCTGCCAAATTGCTCAATTTAAATAAATATAATGGTGGCAAGTTTCCTGGTGTATGCCAAATCTTCCAGTCTTGCAAGAGCAGGCAATATCGGCCGATGGTCAGCTATATAAAGAAGGGAGCTTATGTAAACATTTCTAAATGTGTTAAGACTAAGCGATTTATGATTGGTCTTTTCAATGTCTGCCTAATGTTGTGAGTGCTTGTAAAGTATCAAATTATCTCTAAAAGGATGCATAGGACATTTTCAAATTCTTCATCACAGATGTATAACCACCTGTATGTGGCTTATATGTAAATGCAATGCTATGTTAAATTTTGCACTCAATTCAAATATCAGCCAGTCACATACCGTGACATATATGTCTCCCTTCATTTGAAGGGGAGACATATATAATTAACAAAATGAACAGGCCCCTAGGAAGTTGAATGATAAAAAGACTTGGCCTAGATAGGTTATACAGTGTAAATCGGGTTAATTATTAAGAGTATTTGAACTGTACATTGCGGACGGGGAGATAGACACCACTAACCAACCTTGACGAGCGATGCTAAGTAACAAGTATTAGGTATTAAATAGTGTACTATGTCCATCTTATTAACAGGCTAATGCTTTTTAAACATTTAATGTTTTACAGAGTAGTGAATAAACAATTTTCAATGCTATAATTATCTACCACAAGCAAATGACATCTTATTAATAACACTTATCTGAATAAAATAATCACCAATTTGAAGTATAAATTACATAGTAATGTACTTATGTGTACAATTAAGAATGGCAGAGAGGTTTAAAGACGTAAAAATAACTCTGTGACAAAAAATAATGGATTGAAATCAGATGATAAGAAATATGAAAGTCTCATTGAGCAGTTAAATACAGCATACAGTCATGTTGGCATACACACAGAAATGTACAATGACACAATCATACAAAATAATCTAACATGTATCATTTTATATATGGAAAGTGAAAGTAAACGTTTGTTTCATAGTGATGTTTAAGTGGAAGAATAACTTGTCCAGCACTTTTAATATCATTTGTGAACAAACAGTTTGTACAGAGAGGTATTCTAGGAAACAGTTTATATCTATATATATATTAAAATATGTACATTAATATTATGGGAATACTGTAATATAGATTTTTTTACTAAACTAATTATACATATAATTTAAAAAGGAAAAATTTCTAACACCAAAAAATATATATCTGATATACCTATATATATATAGACACAATATTCTGACAACCTTAGTGTAATGTCACAATAGTCATTTCAACAGTAGACTAATAGCACTGAGCAAGACTCAATATATACAATGGTCAAACTAGCAATGAACTCGGAACACTTATGACTGTACATAGAAATCAAGCTAAAACTGGATCTTTACAAAATTTACATGTATATAAACATATTCATTGATGTTCCGGAGATAAATTTAATATCTTTATATCAATTGTATCAATCCAACACTTTTCTAAGAGAAAAGAAAAACTCCATTTAATCAAAATACTGAAACTTAGTCTTCACAGTAAAATTTTGAGCTAGATTGTCCACCAATATCTTGTGGACATTGTGATGTCAAGATGTTGTCCTTGTTTGAAATGAATTAAGAATAAGAAGAAACAACCTATCGGTAGATTTAAGGGTTCCTTCAGGTAGCAGTGTACAGTAGAGGGTTGTGGCCATGGGTGATATTTTTGTTAAATGGCTAACCCCTGTATAATGATATGTAAAAAAAATATAAAAATAAAACTGTACTAAAATTGGTATAAGCATGATGAAGTGGGCTATGTGAGCTTCACATTTGTAAAAAAGAAAGAAGATTTCTTTGGTTCGAGAATAAAATTTTGGCCATAATACGAAAGGGTGCGTACACATGAAAAGCTAGCTTTACAGGAGGTAAAATTTTGACAACAGCACACGACGCAAAATTGCAAAAAATCAAGTTCTACAATTTTACTGCGACCCAGATAATTCTGCAACCAGGTAGGTAATCTTTAATTTCAGACAGAGCTTAGGAAAAAAATTACTACTTGCGGGGGTCAAATTTTGGGTTAAAAATAGCATTTTTTGGCATTTTTTGGTAATTTTTGATGTGGTAACCATGGTTTTCACACAAGTGACATACATAGAAAAAAGAGGTTTATACACTTCTCAGTGCTTTATATGTATTGTAAATGTAATGCAGTTTACAAATATATATACATGTATACATGTGTTGTGTAGGGTAAATCCGCTGTGTTTACATTTCCTCGACATGTGCCTTGTTTATCAGAGTCGGGCCATTTCTACTGTATTCTGCTACCTCATCCCAAAACAATAGTCAGATAACAGTTGTTATCAAACTTGCCCGAACTTTCATGGTTATTAATTTTTTAATCAGTTTCATTTAAAAGTAAATAATTACTAAAGATATTGAGCAAACACTGCATCCAAATCTATATAAAAGGGCCATAACTCCAAAAACAAGTATAGGTCCCAACAATGGAGAAGAAAAAGTACAGAAATTACCTGAAAATAATTACAACGTATTGCTCATCAAAACAAAAAACACAGGTCACTTACAGGTATGATGTGTGACAAAAATCAACCTTAGATGTAACAGCAGTTTTGTGAGCTTGTGTGAAACGGAAACCACAGCCTGGAAACACATACCCTTTGATGACAAGTAGATCATAAATATAGGTCAATGTAACCTAGGTATAGAACACCACACATCTTCACCCGTGGGTGTAACAGCACAGTACGTAAGGTTAACCTGCATGAATATACAAGGGAACTACGGCTTTGAAATAATTGTCACGGCTGAATAGTTGGACAAACAAGATGAATACTATATACCCCCCCCTTACTTTTTTCAGGGAGGGGTATATTAACTTCAAGTACAGTAGTCATATCAAAAACATCAATAACAAAGATTCCTGAAGACATGAAAAGATTTCTGAACACATAGAATTGAAATATGCAAGACTCCACTGCTTGCACATTTCACAATTTTGCCAGCGAACTCGCAATATTTCGCCACGTATATGTACAATGGAGTCTTGTTATATTGTTGACTATTTAGTGTCCGAGGTAAAACAATCAGTGTTTCCAGTCCTGGTACCCTAAACTGCATGGATTTTCTCTTCCAAAGATATCTTTAGTACAATTATGAGCTGGATACAATCTTGATAAGGTTTTTTTATGTAGAACCATGGATAGAAGTATTCGGTACAGTATTCCAGACAATGGTTAACAGTAATGACTATTATAACAGTAGATTTGGTTGGAATCGTGAACAGGAATGTGGGCCACGTCCAGTACCGGTGTCTGGTACCCAAAATGGTATAAATTTTACTTAAACGTTATGTCACTTACTCTTGTATATATTAATTATTTGAATGTACTGCACATTGATATATACATGAAATAAATAAAATCGTACACATATCTTACGATATCTACTTTGAAATATTTATATATTCAACGTAACTTCTACACATATGTAAATATATACTTCACTGTAAAAATCTTCTCTTCAAATTTTCGAATTACAAATTTCTACAACCCGTCGATCATGACACACAATCATCCTCTGAGGATTCTCCTTTGTACAGAGGGTTTGGACTGCGATAGGGCATACTGGCTGACCTTCCACTTCTAGTCTCGACACAGTTTGTTCGATTTCCTTCTGTAAAAGTGTTTGATTTCCCTCGACCAATTCTATAATCACTTAATTCCACGTCCTTATTGATGAATCTGTTCCCAGATCCATCTGTTGGCGAGTCAGCAGCTTCGGAATTTTCCTCACTACTCATGTAAAACATCTTGCCCTTACTGCCCTTTCTCGCCCCCTGGTGTTTGGCGTCGGAGGACTTTTTCTCGGGGTCTGACTCTGGCGAGGTTGACGATGGTTCCTCCATGTAATGGTTCTCTGTAATCTCAACGTTGTCCTCCTCAATCAGAGCCTGTGAGAATTTTAACGTTCCCTTCAGCACGTCCCGCACCTAAAACAACATGCAGAGATAGGGTTTATGTCAATAGTCAAAATTACAGAACTACATAACAAATGTCAGTAAGCATGTATATTAAAGATACAAAATTATGTGAGCATTCGGTCTTTATCAATATTCAAATTCCTAGAACGTCTGATATTTCATTATAACTATTCTATAAAGAAGGCCCTGGACATACCTAACATGGGTATGATTGCTCTTCATTGTAACATATCGTAACTGAAAGGAGCATCATAAAATCTTTTTCATATTGGTATAGTAAAACCTCTTTAAAACTCCTCTCATTGGCATAGAGTCAAATTTCAATATACAAAATGTAATGCTACTTTTTCCATTTTCCATTTACTACAGAAATATATTAAGTTCACACTTCCTTTTTTCTAAATAATTCCTTTATGCTTCTCTTGATTTATCACCAAATCCATATTTCACTGAAAGGGGGCAATATACCAGACTTTTTACTGTGCAGAATTTATATAAAGCTGTGTGTTTCATTTCCGGTTTGACACCTGGGATGATTGCCCGCCTTACCTGTCTGACACTCAAGATGATTACTTAACTTACCTGTTTGATACCTGAGATGATCACCTAACTTATATAATTACCTGTCTAACACTCAAGATGATTACCTAACTTACCTATTTGACACCTGCAATGATTACCAAACCTATACCTGTCTGACACCTGAAAGGATTACCCAACTTGTTTGTTTGACACCTGCAATGATTACTGAACTGACCTGTTTGACACAAGAGATGATTACCAAACTTACCTTTTTGACACAAGAGATGATTACCCAACTTACCTGTTTGATTGACACCTGGGATGATTGCCCAACTAACCTGTCTGACACCCAAGATGATTACTAAACTTACCTGTTTGATACCTGAAATGATTACCAAACTTACCTGTCTGACACCCAAGATGATTACTAAACTTACCTGTTTGATACCTGCGATGGCAAGGAGGATCTCATCCTCACCCTGCAGTGTGTCCTGCTGCTGTAGTTCATGCTGGAGACGGGCTGTAAACAGTTAAATACAACATTATTACAGGTAAAATACAGGTAAGCAAACACAGAAATTAACTTGCACAGCTCACCTGCTATTTAATGATGTTACAATATTTTAGTAACACTCCAATGCTACAGGCAGTCGGGTGGACGGGTAATGGGTAAGGGGCGGAATGGGTAAACATATCATCTGTCCCTCTGTCTGCCTGTAGTATTAGAGTTGTATTTAGTTAAATGTCGAGATTTTTTCTGGCAGCTGACTTTAATGACTTGGCACATTTAGGCTTAGTGAATTCTTTTCAGCGGTTTAGAATTGAGACACCGGTCATTTGCACTCTTTGCTTTACAAAGCAAAAAGACATTTCCGAAAGCTCAAAAAATAAGTTTTCAATAACTATTTGTGTTCCAAACAAACTTCACATTTGTGATACATCTCAGCACGAGACCTTAGTGGATTTTAAATTGGCCCAAGAAATAAAAAAATAAACATGTCATTGAAATGAACAAACTTGTTGCCAAAAGACAAATAGCACGACTCTTAGCAAAATGTCATTTGAAGAAAAAGTTGGCAAATAGAAAACAGACACCACACCATATGACACAATTGGCCCTAAAGACCAGGCAAAGTGACAGCTTCCGGTTTCTTAGTGACTTACATATATGGACGTCCAGTTTACTGGCACAGTAGTTACACATAGCCTCCTTCTTCGACAGCTGGCTATGTAGTTCCCCAACCTGATTCTCATACTCGTCTTGTTCCTGCAGCATAAACATGTATCACACATACTTCAGATTTGATTGAAACAATTAAAAGCTTTGGGGGTATATCAAATATATATAGATCAAGTCAAAAGTGGACATTTTAAGTTATTTCCTCAACAAATTGAACAACTCAAGCTAGAGCAGTACTCAGTTAACACTTAATGATGATAACTTGGTTTGGTTTGTTTGTGTTTTACGTCCTATTGACAGCTATGGTCTTTTAAGGACGTGCCAGGTTTTGATGGTGGAGGAAAGTCGGATTTCCCGGAGAAAAGCCACCGACCTACGGCCAGTACCTGGCGACTGCCCCATGTATGCCTCGAACCTGCGACCCAGTGTAACGATGATAATAACGGGAGTAACAGTGGTGTATCATTTGATGAGGGCACCTATACCTGATACGAATGGATTTTTCTATCTTTAAAAAAGATTTACCCATTAAACTAGAAAATGTATGCAAGACATGAATGCTCCCGTCACCATGTGAAATTAGTTTCAGTGTTTGATGTTCCATTAATTGTAGTGTTAATATTGAATCAGGACGGGACACGACGGGAAGGGACGCAACGGGGCAGAACACGACAGGACGGGACGGACATGGGCAACACTATATGCCCCCCCCCCCCCCCCCCCCCTCCCTTTTTTATGGCGTGGGCATAAAAAATATCTACCTTAGCTTGTACCAGTGGTAACTTATCCATCCCACCATTCAACAATCATATAGCGTGAGTAAGTGACCTGAAAACCTTCCTATTACTATTTATAAATAACAGCATATTTTACAAGAATGGCATAAAACTTCAGACATTTTCACTTGCACTAGGTACTATACTTTAAGAATACATAATTGATATTCTGCTACACCCCTTGAACATTGGGATCAATGGGAAATCACTAAATATCAGTCTATTTACATTTTAAGGTAACTTGTTACAACACTGTGATAATAATTTGTATATATAATGTCATAATACATTCAATAACCGAGATTGAGGAAATTTTTTGGACCCGAACCTGTTTGGCTGACTTTTTGCCTTTCTTGCGAGCTCGTGGCAAGGTGGCGAACTGTGACACACCGCCGTTGGCCGAGTCACCATCGTCGGGTGTGTAGGCCATGGGACTGTTGTCCATAGATCGATTGCGTGTGTCCATCCGGGCGAGACTGGCCGCCGAGGGGGTGGAGCGGAACACAGAGTCCTCTACCTGTGACAGACTCGCTGAGGATCCACGCTTCTTCTGGGGGTACTGGGGGCTGGCTGTGGGGGCACAGAAACAGTGTACAAGGTCAACATTGATATCAGTACACGTTCTCTGTCATATAGAACAGGATGTCATCTTAGCAAGGAATATTTATTCACCTATAATTAGATCTATTTCCAGTTTTTCCATCAGCAATTTTGTAAACTTTGGATATATTTTTAAGCCTTGAGTTAAACTTAATCTTTTCTTATCTCTTTATTCTAACAAATACTTTGATTTATTACCTACAAAAATATTTTTCCCTCTCCTTTCTTTATTTTCAACTCCTTTTTTTGTATCATATAAATGTTAACTAATCATCACTAAAATAAATGAAGTAAGTCTGTCATAGTAAAAAATCATTAACATTGAAATACATGTACATGATTCATGTGTTACAGTGAATAATATTAAAACTTTGATTCATTGCCTGAAAAAAAATTTGACTAGTATATTTACAATTTACGCCATTTACGTTAAAATACAATATTTGATAATTGTTAAAAAGGGAATATTTTGTGTTTTTAATTGTTATTGTTTCTTTGCAAGTTGATTTCATCGCAGGACTTGCGAGGCATGTGATTGTCACGTGATCGTAATTGACATAGCGCGGCAAAATATTTTTTTACGCTTACGGGACAAAATGTTACACTACTTCCCCTTGCAAAATAAGTAAATCATGACTATTTATATCACTTCTTTCATCCTATTGACTGTAACATTACGATATCGTTAGCTAGGATGTAATATAAAGATAGTTCTTAGGAATATGCTTGAAGTTATTTGAAAGTGAAAGTAGAATTTACATACTGATCATTATGATGGCAAAATAAACTCTTCTCGAATTTTTCCAACACGCTGAGATAAATAACAAGTAACAAATTATTTCAGTTATTAATTTATCTTTTTGTATTTATATTTTTCCATGTTTCCACATCAATCTGTGTCTTATTAATTATATAATATAGGGAATCTCACTTCGGGTTCGTTCAGGCAACATAAAAACGGTCGAAAACAGCTTGATCGGCTATTATGATATATCGGTTATTATAATATTTTTCTCTGGCAAATAGAATATCATGATAAGCAGTTTCCACTGTAATGGCAATAAGATACTAGCAGTATAATTGCTGAAGCTAATATATTGGCAATGGTTATATTGCTACATAGGTGTCGAGCTGGATTTTCAAGTTGCGTTATATATTATTAGTGTTGAATATACTGACGGCAATGTATTTTTTATCATATCTCATGTCATTTCACCACAGCTAAATACTGGCACTGTACATACTATCTTACCTACTGGGCACCTTGACATTCCACAGAATATATAACATCCACAACCATTTAGTTATTAGTAAAATTAAAACCATAAATAAATTAATCTTGACAGTTGTATTAGTATAAATAGAACAGATTTGGCACTTAATTGATAAATGTAGTTACCACAAGCAAATATACATGTTGTTATTTTAAAGAATGGTACTAAATATAATCATTTACTTCAATTTTTTTTTCTTCTCAATGTGAAAGAATTTGTGATGGGTGGAAACAGGAAATTAAGGATGGAATTGTGATCCTATAGGATTACCAAGGGGGGTAAGTTACATGCTCACAGTGAGAAAGGCAAGTCAGATCAAGTGAAATGCTGTGTGTCAAAAAACACATGGTTTTAACCATTTTTACCTGTTTCTGATAACATAGTTTGTATACTGGCAGGCACAGTATTCCATTTCTCTGTAGTAAAAATTGATGAAAATATTCTCAACAAAGTACATCTTTCTTGGTAATATAAAACATTTGTTGAGGTAAAAAACGTTTTTAAAAAGGAGACGTGCTTGTCTCTGGGTGGTTATATTATCCATAAGCATTCAGGGCAAAGGATGAAAATAAAATATTGTGCATGATAATATGTAAATTACAGTGAATGAGAATTTGATAAAAGATGTAAATGATAAACAAAATAATTGAATGCTCAAATAAATCAACCAGTCCAGTGATTTTTCTACCTAGTTTTGTAGCCGAATACAGGCTCCATCCACTAGCAAAGAAATGCTTTCTTTTCTCAAAATGAAGAAAATTGGTTAAACGATCTCCCTGGTTTTGATGAAAATATTGCTATATTTTCCAATTAATGTTGAAACACAGGTATCTGTAAAATTTAGACAGAAAACACTGCCAACCATCTGTAAGTAAGAAACCTCCAATCATTTCCTGTTTGAGATATCTTTGGAAGCATTGAGTTATTATCCTACTTCCCGAGTCTGAAGAAAGATTCCATGTAGTTAACCTAATCTGTTTAAAACATCAAACAATTTGTATACATTTACGGGACAACTGATATAAACAGAAACAGAATCATTCTACAAAAGACTTCTACAAAGGGAGATAATGAAGTTTGACAAAGAAAAGCTCAATACATGAACCAACAAATATTTCTGCCTGAACAGAAAAAAAATATAAAAAATATTGGGTGGAAATGAAAATCCTATGAAAAATGAAACCCCTCTCCAATCAAAAGGCCGTTAATCCCATAGTTCACCTGGAGAGATGTCTGTTTCGAGGTTCATGGGTACGCTGGAGGATTTATACATTTTCTGGCTCTGAGACATGCTCAGGGTCTTTGGCCGCGAACCCATTTTGCGTGTAAATGATGAGAAACTCGTACTCAATGTCCCAGCAGCTCGTCCTTTGTTAGTAGCAGGCTGTTCATTGGCTGAAATAAACACAGGTAAGGACGGCAGAGGTCAGTCAAGGTTAAGTAGAGGCTTGGTTGGCATGGTTACTGTTTCATTGCATGCTCCAGGGTTAGGATGGTTGGTTTTAATTTTTTTTTATTCTGATTTTAAAATGTATTCACAGCAAGTGTAAGTATGAAAACAACAATCAATGTAATTTTTTGTGTAAATAGTTTCCCAACTGTTATACCCATATAACTAAAGGAGTCAATTTACTATCAGTGAAGATTATAGGCAAAGCATGTTACATAACATTAGAAATATATGTACTAGGTCCAAGCTATACAAATGTTTCTTGAATTAAGGAAATTTCTGAATGAGCTGTTCCATTGCTGGCTGAAAGTCAAGAAACTTTTCTAAACTGAATATTTTTCCTAAATTCCAGCAATATTTTTTTAAGCAATAGAAAAGCTAAAAAAAATCCCTCAAGTCAAGGAGCATTTCTGGAACACTGGGCCCATATCCATGAAACCATACTCATACTCAAACTCAGATTTTGTGCTTAAGTCGAATTTCTTGTTCTAAAGATTAATAACTAAGTCACAATTTGTCAATGATACAGAATAATTTTGGTGAGATATAAAGCTGAACACAGTTTTCAATGTTAATGCTTGACTTTTTGACCGTATTACATGATTTAAACGCTGTTACAAGAAAGCTGGCTTGAGTACGGAATCTATCCTTGAGCAAGAGAACGGTTTCCTGAATACCATGGCCCAAGTGTCAGAATTCTGTATAAACATGGACATCTGATTGTCACATCAATGATGTGCAATAAATGCTAGATATGATATGCCAAAGCAGAGTACAATTTCTTATGACTCCAATTAATTATTGGCACACAGCAGCAGCAGCAGAAAGCACTGGCTAAACTTGAATATATATTGTATATATGTTGTGAAGCATATAAAATAACTTTTTTTGTTGTTCATTAATTAACAGCATTTAAAACTTAACATTATTATGTGATATTTAAAATGTGTAGACAACTGCAGCTTTGAGGTTAGAAATGACAATCAAGTTGAAAACGACAGTTGAGAAAAATGCTCCAAACGAGCCACAAACAAGGAACTTACTACATACTTCTACGTGGTACATTATCTATGTGCTCAGATAGTCTACAACTCCCCCCAGTTTGATTCCTACATGGTTGAAACGTGAACACTAAAGATGTGTAAAAAGTATGAATCTGTCTAGAGATAACTGGGGTGCACACTCACCTCGGGACACAGGTTTCTGCGGTTTGTTTGTGACAAGCTGATTCACTGTTTGGACAGTGTAGTTTGGTGGACGTGGATAGTTCTGTAAAAAAATAAAATCACAGTATTATAAAAACTCCTAAATCAACACAATTAAAACTTTACTTTATGCATATTTTTATTTCTTATCAGACTACAGGCGACGATGATCAGACTACAGGCGACGCTGACCAGACTACAGGCGACGATGATCAGACTACAGGCGACGATGATCAGACTACAGGCGACAATGATCAGACTACAGGCGACAATGATCAGACTACAGGCGACGATGATCAGACTACAGGCGACGACGAAGATCAGACTACAGGCGACTCATCGTTTTCCTAATTTAATAGCAGTAGCTAGACTAGAAGCTATATATGGCCGAAAGTAATCTGCAATCTGATGATAATCATGTCATGCTAAACAAGTCACAGTTTTCATTGATAATACTCAATGTGCATTAAGAATTGTTTACGTTTGGCTCACGAAGATACCGTGCTTTCTCTATAAGGTAATGGACGTCAGCCACAGGAGGGAAGCGCATCAGACAGTTGAGGCATTGTGGGTAATCACTCGCCAACACTGTAAAAACAACAAGGTATATGACCACCATCAATAAAACAACTGAAGAGATTGATCTTTCTGACTATTCTCTGTTATATTTTCAATTTGAAGGACAAATAAACTTAGAGTTAGAATTTTAGAAGTGATACTTTATAGCTAAGGGTTTCCACTGCAAACAACATCAGATTCCATGCAATCAGTTTTGGAAGATATTTAAAAAACGAACATAGAGGGCAAGTTTCAAATCTGTGCTAAACCCTGCTACGAGTATACTGAGTTTCAATGGTAGCTATTGAGGATCTTATGGAAGACTAGCATTGTTCCTCTAAATCATCTATCTTACACAGAGTTATACAGTCCGCCAGTTGTATATTGAAGGATCACCAGAAACAAGAATATATCATTAAATAATCTGTAACATTTCTTTCATAGTAATATGATACCAGTAATTATTTTAACACACTGCCTCTGTGCAGCACGAAGAATTCAATTGATCTTTATGTAACTGTAAAATTTATTTTTACAACAATTATGAAACAAATGAATGCAGTTTACATGAATCACTATTGTGGGCACAGATGACGTGTGCAGAGGGTCTTAATATTCACATAAGCAAATAGATATGTACATAGCAAACACTGCCGTTTAAATTTTAGCTTGGATCAAATCGATTGTGGTGTCACTCGACATGCTTTTGTCATTCTTCTACACTTTGTGCTCTTGTTTGATGCAATTGTGTTGATTGGACATTCATCAGTCTTATTAATCAAATTATAAAATCACTCGACATGGACCTTACTTACACAAATCTCTGATGTATAACAACATAGAAGCAAAGACATAGTCAACCAGGTCAAAACCAATTCCATCCGCAAATAATGCGTCCCACAAAACCAGGAGGTCCTGCATGGGGAACTCTCGACCAAACAGGAGGCGAACCCAGCGTCTACAACGGTGAATGTATATGATAAACGTTAGAAAAACATATTCAAATGGTGGCAACACTTACCACATTTATGAAACTCATCTAAAAAATTTTCATTTAAGCTTGCCAGGTTGACATTTGAAACAGTGACTTGTTTAAGATTCTGATTAAATGTAAAATGAACCTGTGTAATCAGAAATCCTGTGTATTATGGCTGGAGCTACTGGTCATGATTATGATTGGTTACACAGCTGCCAGTGTAATACTAGCACTTCCAGTGTAATTACTAGCAATCATATCTCCATATATTTCATTCATTTGTGGAATAACTCTTCACTTGTACTGTGTCACATGACACTTGCACTGTCTAGGTACTTGTGTGGTTTCCATGGTTACACTAGAACTACAAACAAAAGAGCAATTAATATGTGAATGGTTTACCAATTGTCGGCTGGATAACCGAACTACTAGGTAGTGAAGTATATGTTGGTTTGGTTTGGTTTAATATTGTTTAACTTGATATTAACAGCTTAATTCATTTAAGGATGCGCCTCCATGTGTGTTGTGCAAGCGTGTATGTGTGTATGTGTGCCTGAGACAGGGTATGTTGGTCTATTTGCATCCTTGTGATAGAATCCCCCGAACAAACAAACAAACAAATGACTAAACAGACTCTTGTCCAACTGTATGAGAAAACCATGAAAGTTGATGTCAGTGACAGTAATCTGGAAACCTAAATCTGGGAAAGAAAGTTTTACAGTAACCTTTGACCTAAAATTTGTATTTTCTGTGACACGATCTGTGAACTTTGACCTACATTCCGTAAATCTGTGGAGCAATATCCAGCCTCTCTAGGTGGAGGTGAAGTTCTGGGTCAAACTTCTTCAGGATATAGTCATGGACACGGGTCAGTTTGGACACGATAGCGATGGACGAGTTCGTATCCTGTGCACGTGAAAACAAGGTCACTGTGACCTTTTCCTTTGTCTGCAAGGTCAACAAGTAATCTTTAAAGAAAATATAACAATAACAAAACAAGAAATTCCTCAATCAATAATCAAGGGCAATGATAGGCCAATCTCTTATAAATTTATATATTTTGAAGAAATAAATAGGCAATACTACAGGAATTTCTTTATAAAGAAAAAACCATCGTTCAAAATTGTCTTACAACATTAGTAAAACAGACTTTTCCCTACGGAAGCTGTTTCCATGGATACCTTTGGGACCAGGATGTCCTTGGAGTTGTACCACGGTTCTACTGTATCCATGATCTGACACAGCATGGCACTGTTAACATAATAAAATAGGGTACAAGGGTCTTGTAACATCAAACAAAACGTCAAATATTGGAATTTGTTTTGAGAAAATAAAGTTTTCATTTTTCACAACTGTTATCTACATACTGACATTCACTGTTCATTATGAAACTACTGCACCATGGGATACTTTCACCCTGTAAACTTTTGCCCTACGCTGGTAAAATACATATTTGCCTATAGTGTTAATTTTGCCTTTCAAAATGCGATTATTTTATCTCTAATGTTATAGATAAATTTGTCCTCAATACTGAGGGCAAAAAGACACAAGTACAGTAATATGCCACTACAGTACTAAAATTAACCCTTTCACCACTGTAGACCAAAATGGACTCATCCAGATCAATGCATGGTAGAGTCTACTAAAGTCACATAGGGGTGAATGTGTTAAGACAGCTGATTGTTTGATTACATGAAAAATAATTTCTTTACATCAATGAAAATGTATAAAAGGCGATGGCGAAACAGTAGAGTACAAACTTTCTGTACAGATTTCTCTTCTGCTCAGAACCTATAAACAGTGTAGGTAATTTAAATTTACAAACTAACTACATTTTGATTGTTAAAATACGTTTACATTTCTAAAACTGTGGAGATTTGGTTATTCTCTAAACTGATTTAGCCTCAAGACTTAAAGTTTAATGTGACCAGTGCTTGTGATAAGCTCTGTGACACATGTCTACACGATAACGCTAGTATGTCTCTGTGACACATGTCTACACGATAACGCTAGTATGTCTCTGTGACCCATGTCTACACAATAACACTAGTATGTCTCTGTGACCCATGTCTACACAATAACACTAGTATGTCTCTGTGACACATGTCTACA